TCTGTGATGGAAGAAATTTTAGCATGAACAATTTAACATACTTTAAGCATTTTAACGGACAATTTAGCAGTACTACAAGAGCTGGGATGTGGCAGCTGAACAGAACTGTGCGCTATGTTGCCCAGAAGGGTCCTCGCCTCAAAAATTCCGAGTGTAAGTCAAATCTATGGCCATCGATACCAAGAATATGTATTAGATAGATATGTGGGGTTTAACGTCCCAAAACCACCATATGATTATGAGTTAAAAGTGGTTAAAACAAGCCTAAAACAAGGCTAGCAATGTAGAAAACCGAGTTGATTTAAAAGACAGCTGAAAAGGTAGAATTTAGAATTACCAGAACTAACCAAGAAATGATTGCAATGATTAACTCAAAATTGCTAAAAACACTTTTGAAGACATGTGGCTAACTCAAACCGTTTAAGAGAGGGTGCCACTGTTCCACCAAGCAAACAACTGCTCCTCCACCAGCACTTCTCTAACACTACACCTGAAGGTGAAAAGAACCTACTCACTGAAAACGACTCAGTTAGGTAAAAAGAGCAGCGGGAATTCCATGAATAAAAATCAGTGGGTGCCCATGCTACGCACTTCCTCGGGTGTCAAAGTAGTGAAGCCACATTTGATTGATTATGTGAGGTTTAACGTCTCGAAACCACCATATGATTATGAGAGACACCATAGAGGAGGGCTCCGGAAATTTCGACCACCTGGGGTTCTTTAACGTGCACCCAAATCTGAGCACACGGGCCTACAACATTTCCGCCTCCATCGGAAATGCAGCCGCCGCAGCTGGGATTCGAAGAATATGTATTGTCTGTGCCACATCTGATTTCACAAAACAGTGGCAACAAAGGACAGTGTGGACACACAAGCCTCAGAAGGCCTCCAAAGAACACGACACATCAGATGTGCCCTATTTCTTTTCTACGATAGCCAGTGCTAGCATGTGCTGATGGTAGCACCGGTGCTTCTGAGAATTCTTTTATTGAAACAATGCTAATGCTGTTTCCACTACAGCATTATTAACTTTTCCACAGAATCATTTCCAAGCAAAAATGTAATAATACATGCATAATATACGCAAGTAATAAATGTTAATAATACTTACCCAGCTAACACAAAACCATCTGGAGGTTTTCGTGATTTGCTGAGAACAATAATGTCAGAAACAGCTTCACCAGCAGTATCTCTTGCAACCATCTTGTAACAGAGGAGCTTTTTCTTCATGGCACGTTGATCTGTGAATCATTACATTGAACTACACAGCAAAGAAAAATTGTGCTGCTGACTAACCTGTATCTTTTGTAGAATTCATGACAATACAGCCCTCAGGTGGCACCTCCTTGTCAGCCACAACCAACAAAGACTGAACACATTCTGCATGCTGTAAATAAGGCAAAAGAAATGGCACTGTAACATCCAAATGCAGGAGGCAAAATGACTACGTCATGGTAAAAAATAGAATCACAACAAGTGAAATATTGAATAAAAGATGTGGGCTGCTCTGCCTTCAGTTTTCCAGACAATCCATGCACCTTCAATATTATGCTCAATGATGATATTTCAAGCACAGGCACAAAAGGTGAAAGGCTAATGTTACCGAAAAAATCATAATCAATCCCACACCTACAGGAAGATGTGACCGTTCACGCTTACACATTATTTGCTGCCTTTTTCATCAAAGCTCAAAACACAAGTGGCTGCATCACACCCTGCGATATTGGCATGTGTACCCATGCCTCAAATATCCAATGAATTATTTGCAAGATAAGAACAAAGCGTCTTAAGTGTAACATGAAACACATAACGGCATAGAAAGAGTATGTTTAGTATGCAGAATGACGTGAACTGATGGAGTCCACAGTGCTTAAGTTCTGCACAGCATTCTCATCCCTTTTGTACACTGATCTGGTCGGTGAGCATCCTTGCATAATAAACAGCAATGCGCGTGCTGACAGTTAAGGACCAGGGAGACAGTATTGACCAAGTGTTAGTAAAATCACATCCTCACACTAACTTCTGCAGTTTTGGCCCCCAAGGAAGACCACAGGATCTGGCAGCCATACTTCATATAGCCTACACTACTGTTGTAAACCCCATAGATCAGGTCCGCATGACCGACCACTGAAAGGACAAGCACCCATATGCTCTTTCGACCCAAGAATGCATTCCAATCTTTACAACGTTACAGAAAAATTTAAATTACAGTTAACATCAAGTAACAGTATTGGCCACTCCGTCTAATGACAGCACTAGGCTCATCATTAAGCGGCAGAAATATCAAATGGAAGCCGCGTCAGCAAGCGATCCATCACACTACCAACAAAGGAGCTAGATTACTAAAGTTCACCGGTACATGTTGCTGTGTAGTTTCTCAGCTTTTTGTTTAGTTTTTTTCACCCTTGTCTTTTGATTGATATGTTTGCGATCTCATGTGGACTGGCATATATTTGCCAGCTGCTTTAATAAATGATAGTTGGTTACATAACTGCACTATCTGTGAGAAAGTAACTCTTTTACACGTCTTAATATTGGTCTTGAGATTCCCAAACATTTTGCAAGCACGGCCCCAGAGTCGATCATTTCAAACGCTCATTCATGTGACATTGCGGCTTTGTCAGCTTATGCAGTCCATACACTTGAATATCCAGAGTATGCCCCATAGTTACACTGTATTCTGTAGTTGCACATCATAAGTGAAGACTATTCAGTTCATTGTAGAATACTGGTATCTCCTCTTAGTTAATGCCTGGAACCTTTTCTGCATATCTTTACTTAATTCCAACAATAAGACTTCTCAAAAAGACACTGTCATGAAGCACATATGCAATGTTTAATTCACTAGACTGATTTACTCATCTAAACCCATGCTCGTGATGTCATTAGAGGGGAACTTGTGGGATCTAGATGAGACTGCAAACAGTACCAGAGGCTGCTCTTCTGTAAAAAGGCTACAAATACACTGTAACTACCTCTTGTCATGACAAAAAACTTGTCTCACATGCTTAATAATTTTTAGATGTGCTGACATTATTTCAGTTTATGAAAGTGATTAAAATGTCACTGTGACACTCATAAGTTCAGACAATGTTCCGTGTAGTTTTCATTAACGTTATCATGGTTGCTATCCAAGTACTAGCATGTCGAGATGGCGTGTAAAAAAAAAGCATTTATTTGTAGTTGCTCGAACACAAACAACCAAGAGCTGCTGTGCTGTCAGTATATTCTTTCCTACTCTTGCTTGAACCCGCATAGCTGCTGGAGCGCAACTTCGGTGTCATCAACCAACAATAACAACTCAACATAAGAAAACAAGGTAAAAAGCACTGTGACCATGGCTGCTATATCTAGGTACTAGCACACAGAAAAGCTGCGTCTGTGACATTACGTGAAAATTACCTATAGTATTTAATTATAACCTTCCACGATTGTTGACTTCAGATTAAAAAAAAAACGCCTATAGTGTTAGAAATGATGGATGAGCATCTTAAAAAATGTACAAGCTGAGTTATTCATACAAACTACAATAGCTAATCTATAAAATTAGAACTGTTCTTACATGTTAACCATTTCATTGAGTACTGCTGTCATACTTTCCCTCGAATAGAAACGCCCCCCCCCCCCCCCCCCTCCCTTCCCCATGGGTCTTACCAAAGAGTACAACCAGTGAACAGTGTGTTCCGGTACCACCGCAAAGTGCAGCTGATCAAATGCAGTACTCAGTCCCATAAAAAATTTTCTACTTGAAAAAAAAATAACATAGAAAGAATTAAATTACTGTCAGACTGCTGTCGCAATTGCAGTTGTGACAGCGACGTTCGTTAGTTTCAAGGCACGCGAAAGGCTGAACGAAACTTTTTTTTTTTTTTATGAACGGCGTTTGACTGAAAAACACTAGACATACGTGGGCTTTTGAGTAGCAGATGTATCGAGTAATGCGACGCCCGAAGAAACGGTCCTTCCAGAGGTCGGCATCGGTGTCTTGGTCAAAAGTTTTGTCCACCTGCAATGCGAGGCCGCCTCTGTTGAGAGAACACAACGCGCATTGACAAGTCGAGTGGGAAAAGGCCACCATACCACATGATATCCAGGAGGGCAATTCTGTGGATCTTCAATTATACAGACGTCGGTTATCGGCAAGTCATCAGGCAGCACTTTCAGGAGGTCCTGCATCATTTTCTAAGGCGGCATTCGGCTGAAACCGACGACACAGAATTGCTGCAGTGTAGCAAATGTAATTTTTTTAGCACCACCGATGCGAAAGAGAAACAAATAGAGCTAGCGTGCACAATCGAGACGTACAGGTCATTGCTGGCGATAATGAAAACAACTTCGAGAGGATCCGCGACCTCAGGCAATGCTATTAAACCCCGAGCATCAAATGTGTTGTGACAACACACTACAACTGTGCAATGCAGCAAGAGAGAAAAAAAAAAAAACGGTAGGCCGCACAAAAGCAAATGACGATCTAAAGTATGTATGCACCGTAGCGCATGAATAAAATAGTGTATTCTCACGTGGTAAATGATGCTGCGGAGCGCGCCGAGAGAACACCGTTAACAGGAAAATGTTTACATCTCCAGCGATCAACCACAACTTCCCATGATGATCTCCGTGATCTCCGCCTACAAAAACACACAAAAGAAAAAAAATGAAAAGAAAGAACGTTTTTACAAAAAAATGCTGTTTATCACCAGTTTACTGTTGACAAAACATAGTTTGTAAGTATTTTATTCTCATTAAATTCTAAATTACTCTTCCAGTCAATGAATCTAGGCACACGCTTAGTTTCGGTTCTTTCATTCTCGTTCTCCATGTTGCACAGTTCCCTACGCTCTAAAATAATTGAATGGGCGCTCTCACAGTTTCCTAAATACATTCTGCTAGAGCACCCAAACGCCTTAAACCCCGTAAGATGTTTTGAAGGTTTGGATTGGTTTTGGCATTTTTGATTTGGCCCCGCATTTGCCGCGAGTCTGGCCCTCCTGGCAACAGTGGTGACACGTCATCTGTTCATCTGCGGGCGCGTCACTGCCGGCACAGTAGAAAATGGTCCTCCCGTAACTAAACTTTCCTGGTATTATACAGAGGCTGTTCGCATTTCACGTGATTCGTGGGCTCGAACACCGCTTCAACATGGTGCTTATGACAATGATTGCCAGAGTAGCCGACGGGTTGCCCTTGTCGGCCTCTGTACAAGATGACCAGCAGGTATGTCGATTGAGCTGTCGTTGAAAAGCAGTTTACTCGCGTCTTTCATGCGTCACGTTAGTTGGCGTATTGGACGCTAACGCGATGCTGTTTGTACGCTGAATTGACCGTCCTCAGTGCCAATAACGTCCTTGGTGCGCAAGCTTTTTGCCACTCGGAGTTTTTTTTTTTTTTATGTGGCATATTCATGAGTCTGTATTCGAAGGAGAAACAAATAGAGGGAGAGGGGGAAATAATCGCCGATAACATCTGCGATTTCGCGTAAACGATGACACGCAAATGTATGACTAGGTTGATAATATGTGTCGGCATCCGTTTAGTTTTAAGTTGATTCGTGCTAACATTTACAGTGGCGCATCTGTCCACACCTTGATGTACCACTTTTCACTTTCCAGCAACTTGGCGTAGGGAACACGGAATACCAGAACCAAGCAAAGATGTTATTCAAGAAGCTAAATAATCAATCATTTTCTCGATCCACCATTGAAACAGGACCTTACAACTTCCAGTAAGTTATTCTCCCTGGCTTCCTTGTTGGTTTCCGCGTGGCAATACTTCTTTCCTGGTTAATTTTTTACGTGATCATTCAGTTGCCGAAAGAAGGCGATGCGGATTCAGAGAGTTTTATTTTGCACTTTCACTTTTTTTAGTTTCTAGTGTGCATGAAACTATGCTATCCTGCACTTCAGCATGATATGATCAAACATTTTTGTGGAGTTATGTTTATAGAAGCTTGCTAAATTAATTACACGATGTTGTCGTGTTTATAGAAGCTTGTTAAATCATAGTCTATGATAAAAAAAAATTGTGCACAGTTGTCAGACATTCATATTAGCCTTCATTTTGTTTTTTTGTGTGTGTACGAACGTTTCCTGGTACAGAGTCTACACACTCTGTTACGTCTAGACGTAACATTAAGACAAGTTAGAGTTACGTCCAGCGTGACAATACAAAACCGGCTGGTTATACTAGCCTAAACCGATTGGCAGCAATGGCGTAGTCGGCTAACACAGCTCGTGCAGTATGGTGAGGTCGTTGGTTCAAGCTGAACTTTAATTTTATTTATTTTATTTTTTGCACAAGTGTTCTTCTAAACAGTGCAGCATTAATGTTCCAAGGGTGCCGCTTATATATTTTTTTCCTTGAAGAAAATAACTCAGGAGCATATCTTATGGGAATGTTGAGAGATTAGTGCCCATAACGAGTACGTGGCCTCTGGTGACAGCCTTCGCGCGCGCTAGGAAGCCGCAATGCTCAGCCCGGTTCTCGAAGACCAAATGTGGGCCGTCCAGCGGGCCGAGGAAGCCACCAGGGTCCAAGGACTCCTGGCTGTAACCTAGGCGGGGCCATTCGCCCACCCCATCTACTTGCCGGACTCTGAATAAAGTTCTTTCCTCCTCCTCCTCCTTAAAGAAAATAGCCTTCGTGGCCGCGGTGGGCGCGCGATACCGCGTTGCTACAGCGCTGTACAGTTCTGCTGTAGCAAATGCACCGCAAAGCGAGATTATCCCAGTGACACACGAGCAAACCTCCGAGACTGCCAAGTGATTATCAAACTCAGTGCATATTGTGAACCACACGACGAACGTAACCTTAGCAGCTAATCATTGTTACGGCTGGACGTAACTTTCACCTTTCACAAAAGCTACGTCTAGACGTAACGGTAGAAGCTGTTAAAGTTACGTCCAGACGCCAAAATAAAACATGTTCGAGTTACGTCCAGCGTGACAACAATGTAAAAACAGGCTTGTTAAACCCAACAAGCCGATCGGCAGCAGTGGCGTCTGCTAACACAGCACGTGCAGGATGGGGTGGTCGTTGGTTCAAGCCCTACCAAAAATTCATTTACTTGGAATTTTTTGCGCAAGTATTTTTTTAAAAATAGTGCAGTATTAATGTTCCAAGAGCGTCGCTTATACTTTTTTTTTCTTAAAGAAAATAGCCTTCATGGCCACAGCGGACGCGCAAAACTGCGTTGCTACAGCGCCGTACAGTTCTGCTGTAGCAAAATAGTGAGTGTTAGCGACGAAAGCGCACCACGAGATTATCCCAGCATGGGTGCTATTGGAAGCTTTTCCTGTGGAGTCTGTGTATTTACTCTATGAGTCATAGAGTTTCCCACAGAAAACTCTGTGGTCTCAGTGACAATTTGTTTTGTGTTATGAGGTGATTTTTTCATGTTTTTACCATTACACCCCTAAATACATATATATATATATATATATGACGAGTCAGATGGATGTCTTTTTGTCACTCAACAATAACCGTTATTTATATTACTCTATATTTCAAGTGTACGTGTCGTCCATGCACTGTCTGATGTGACGCGATCGCGCTGTGGTCAATACATGCCTAAAACAGGCTATCAATGCTCGATATCAGTGCAAAATAAATGAAAGGTTCTGAAATAATTCAAACTACGTCATCAACCAAGAATTATTCACGATAATGTATCTAAAATCACAAATTCTTTCAAAATTGCTGCTGTCACCTGTAGCCTAATATCGCGGCTACAAGCTGCTACAAGTGGCAATGCGCTACAAGAAGGCTGTGCAGGCCAACGTTTAGAGATACTTCCACAGAGCACCTTTATAGATAGTACATTGGCGCGGGGTGCACCATTTAAACTAGGGGAATGAGGTTTTCGGACGACAAGATATTTACATATCGCGACGCGGGACAGCTGTACCTACCATATAGGCATAACCCTAGTGAACATTTTATACATCAGCACGGGCACGCAAACTGTACTTGCATCCAGTTGGAGAGCCGCTGTTTACCACTAACCGCGATGTGGGCAGGGTTTCATCATGATTGCTCCGCTTGTTGACCGCTTCAAGGAAGCTAACGAAAAGGCAGCACCCGATACGGTAGAGTGGTACCGGCAACGTCTTCTAAAAGTTCGTCAGCTGGTCTGTCTCAACAGAGCTGCTGATACGCGAAAAAGTCCGGCACAATAAATGACGCAGCTTTCAACACACAAGTGATTCTGGTAAATCGGTGAATCTGAGCTTATGACAGCTCAATTCGGCGAGCAGCAGCGCCAAACGTTACCGTAGCAGATGCATACGTCACCGTGGGACCGTGGACGTAACACAAGCAGTGGCTATAGTTATGTCTGGACGTAGCACTACCGTTGGCTATAGTTAAGGCTGGGCGTAACAATTGTGGTGGCTATAGTTATGTCTAGACATAACAATTGCGGTGCTTACAGTTACGTCTGGCCGTAACCGTAGCCACACTGTTCCTGGTAAGGACACTGAAAGGAGACCCTTTCTACTGACATATGCTATTTCCTTGGTTTGCATAAACAGTCTGCAGACAGATTTTTCTTCACAGACCTTAAAGGGGCCCTGACCCATTATTTGTGAAAACTCAATAACACTTTCCGTGGAGTAAAGTGCTTCTCAACAATATATTTTTAAAAAATCTTTGTGCTAGTGGGGTATTAGGAGCACTACATTCCCCTTGCTTATCTCTACCGATTTCCATCTCCAGAAAAGCACAGTGGGGGTGCCACACCTACAATGCAGCATTTAAAATTCACAGTAGGCGGGCATAGCTGTGCTTGAGCAGACATTGTGTTCTTGGAATTGATTCTGATGAAAATCCACAATGCAGACTTTCGTATTCCAGAGCCAGTTTAGTTTAACTCCATCAATTAAGATAGGCATAATAACAGTAGAAAAAAAAAAGCAAACTCGTTCGCCTGGCGACTAAACTTCTTGTCTGCCAATGGCAGCTCTTCATGGGACTCTACATGATGCATCAGAGGATAGCCAATGGCACTTTGCATGAACAAAAAAAAAGGTGTGTTTAACTCTTTTCGTGAACTCCACGTGCTGTGCACAACTACGAATTTTGCCCGGGCTGTTCAAAGCTCAGTTTTCTACCTGCAGAATATGTTTTCTCATCAAGCCAGAGAAGTGGTTCAGGGCACCTTTAAGTAATTATTGAAATATAGTAAAAAAAAATGTTCCGAAATTATTTTCATTACATAGCTGCCTATCTACAATTGCACACTTATGCACATTGGCCATCAAGTGAAACACTTGGAATCTGGCTGTGTTTGGCTTGGAACGCAGGATGAAGTTCTGTATTTCATCTTTATAAACTGCTATATATTGTACATGTTCAGTCAGTAACATGGCAACCATATGGGACTCAGTCATAACACTCTTTCGACGCTAATTTATGTTGTTAGTCTAATTTAGTGAGTTCAAATGTAAAGGTGCAGGTTGCAGCATGTTTTTGGTGTCTTTTGTTTCATTTACCTTTGTGGTAAATTGTATGCTTGAAGGTCATTCAGCGTAACGACTGAAAAAGACACTAAACGCAAATGTTAAGTCGCCGTTGATTGTTAACATAGCCGTCCAGAAACCTTGTAGTACAACTTTTGTGCCAAGAAAGTGATTATTTGGAAATAAAATCGTGTATTAATCGTTCGAATTGCGTTCGTGCTCTTTAAATCCCCCGCCTCACTGTTACCATGCCCAACGTTGCCCACCTTTACTATGCAGTCGGCACCACCTCTAGCAGCAGAGCAAAAGTAGCCACAGTAGCAACTACGGCCATTGAACAATTTTCTGCCATCTCGAAGATCATGGTTCTGCTTGCTTGATTCAACTGGGCTCCGCTAGATGGCACCACCTATCCAGCCGAAAACAATTTTTTAACCACTCGCGCCATTTCCCATAGTAACACCAAGTAGTTACTTTTTCTATAAATCAAGCAGAAACGGGCAAGCAGCATTTTATTACTCCTCTTGATACACAGAAAGTTATTTTTGATTGCAATTAGTTTGATTACTATTAATTGTAGTCGGACACTCTCACGTCATCGGGATCATTTCGCAAGTGTCTCCCCACTCGTGGGCACGTAATGTAATACATTTAGCTTAATTGCTGAGTGAGGCACTGCTGTTGATAATATTGCGGTTTTAGACGTCATTGAATTTTAACTCTGACGTAAATTGTCATTTGCCTTTAGTGTCCCTTGAAAGAGTGCAATGAAACATTGTGTGGAACAAGGATGATTGTGGTACCTTCTGTAAATTCAATGATTGATAACTTTTTTTTTCCTTTGGGCTGTGCCATCTTTTTATAGTGGGGCTCTTTTGCTGCCTTGTAGTGCTAAGCAAAACATTAAAATTTATTGCATTCAGCTTTTTTTGCTTTTTTGCATTTTAAGCAGCTGTTTAGTTGGGTAACATTGGTTTGAGCAGTGGAACTTCAGGATACGAGCGAGCGACAAAGCAAAGAGAGGACATCGCTGTACTAACCACTGAAATTCTATTTCTATGTCTGTGACTAAATGAACAAACAGGCACGTACAGTCACCAACAGGAAATGTAACAGTAATTGCAGTGCTGCATTCCCCCGTAGTTCATCTCTCGTATCAAGTACTGCTGCTCAAACCAATGTTAGCTATAAACCAATCAATACCGTCTTTACGTGCATTTGTTTATTTCCCTCTGAATTGCATGTGAAATGGTCAGCTTTATTTTTATGGCACTTGTGATATCCACAGTGTTGAACATGTCATGGTTAAAACGTTTTTGGTGTTTTGCTTGAAATGGGCAACTGTACCCGCTGACATGCCTCTTTGTCTCTTTTTTTCTTTTAAGCTACTTGATTGAGAACGGAGTGTGCTATTTAGTACTCACAGAGAAGTCGTTTTCGAAGAGGCTTGCATTTTCTTTCCTTGAAGATCTGCAAAATGAGTTCAACCGTCAGTATGGCAACAAGGTCAATTCTGTGAACAGGCCATACAGCTACATTGAGTTCGGTAAGCAGTCGTACAAACACCCATTCACTCAAATCATTATTAGTTCTTGGTATTAAGAATTGATATGTTAGTATCATTACACTCAACTAAAAATTCAATTATGTATTTGTTAAGTTTATTTTACTTTTGTTATGAAGAACGAAACGGGCTAGAAGCTAAATGGCCTGACAAAGAACTCTGCTCCTCTCTCTCAGCAGTTTGACATCATGCAATAGATCGCTGTACATATAACAGTATGAACACAGAATCTCGAATGCACTACTGGAGTCGTATAGGCTTGCGTGGAGTGTCACACCATTAAACTTGAGGGGAATCTCGTGCGCAATCACTTAGCGGCCATCGGAATGATAGGAAGTAGAGGCTTCAGATTATATTTTATTTGCTAGCCAACTGTCTACAAGCCTTTTTCTAGTTTGTTTCGTTCTGCGTGCAAGCGGCTCTATCCTGCCCCAGTAATGCGTAAGGCATTCTCTAGCATGGGTAGTGGGATGAAGTACAAAGCACTCAAGCGGTGCTTTTGTTGTCAAAACTGTCCGATTGAAACTTGCTAGGTCTCGTAGCTTAATGTGATGTTGTGGCTTTACAGGTTGTATTTGACAGTTTTAGCAAAGCGTGTCTCACACGCCACTCTGTGCTGACGTAGCATCCAAAAATCGGGGCAGGGGACTGTGTAGATTTCACTCTTGTTTTATATATATATATGTGTGTGTGTGTGTGTGTGTGTGTGGTGTGTGTGTGTGTGTGTGTGTGTGTGTGTGTGTGTGTGTGTGTGTGTGTGTGTGTGTGGTGTGTGTGTGTGTGTGTGTGTGTGTGTGTGTGTGTGTGTGTGTGTATACACACACATATATAAGTGCGTCTTGCCAAGATGCGGTCAGCTTGGCTGCAATACGATGAAGAGCAGTAGACAGATGCACTGCCATGCTTCGCTGAATCATAGGGGAGCGAGACACGCAATGTATGTGCTGCTGCTTTCAAGATAGTTCTGTGCAAGGGCATATGTGCTTGGTGTCACATAAGAAAATACGTTCAGTGTTGCGGGCCAGATGCTAACAGTATTTTTATTTCCATAAATAGATGAATACTGTAGCGTGATGCACATATCTGTTTTCAGTTGCGAAAATTGATGATTTGGTAACACCAAATCTGAAATACGATTGCAGAGCGATGCATAATACCCTTGTGGTTGAATTTATATCGGTTTCACTTCAGTGTCTTGGTCACCAAACTTTTTACAATAAGTTTTATGTACAAAAGAATGAATTTCTATTTCTAATAAGTTTATCTGAATTTGGTTTACACTCTGTAAAACAGGCACTGCGAATTTCAAGAATGTCATCAGTTGGGAGCAGACCCGAAGCCTGTGCTTCCCATAATTCTCAGGGGGGTTTAGGCACCGCTCAAAGAGCCTGCGCTTGTCTGTCCTTTTTCTACTTTCGCGTTTCCTTCCGTTTTTTGCGCAGTATAATATTGATCATTACCAGCTCGCCCAGCTGGTCATTCTTATGCCATAAATGCTAGCACCAGATTCCCCTTCGTTTTGTAGAATGAAACTCAATGGGAGGATGCAACAGGCAGATGACACCACAATAAACATACTATGGTTCATAAGTTAGAAACAAATAAATTTAATTCAATTTCCTTTTAAATAAGTTCAGACACGTATCAATATGAATACTCATTGGCACCTTTTAAGAGTTGCAGTTACTTTAAGTTTAAATTTTGTTTGCCATATTTTGTATGGTTACAGGTATGAATTTTGAGGATTGTATGGATCTATAAATGGAACTAGAATGTAATTTATTATTTTCATAATGAGTGCATTGTGTAAACTTTCTCTGTTGCTTTCAGATACCTACATTCAAAAGGCAAAGAAGGCATTTATGGATTCTAGAGCGAGAAGAAATTTAAGTAGTCTAAATTCTGAACTTAAAGATGTTCAGCGAATCATGGTACAGAACATTGACGACGTGCTGCAAAGGGGATCAGTGATTTCAGGTACCTACTCTGCAACTTTCTTCTCCCAGAAACTTGTCTCGAATACCCTGTGGTTGACCCTATTAAATTCTGGGTCTTTTACATGCCAATACCTCTCACTTAGGCACACATTAGTGAGGGACGTTTTATTAATTTAGACCACTTGGGTTTATTTAACATGCACCTATATTCGAGTACATGAGTGTTTGCCCGTTTAAATGTGGCTGCCATGGCGACTGTGGTCAACATTTCTGGATGATATTGCTATTGGTGTCATGAAATACTGGAGCAGAGTTTAAGGTAGCACATCTAAAAAACAATGTTATGTTTAGATTCCCTCACCAAACTTCAAGCTATGTATTGCTGTAGCATCTGTAGTTCAGAAGCAATATACCATGCATAATCTGTGCCAAAAAGTCAGATTTCAGTGTGGGCAGTATGACCTTCCCCGGTGTGTTAAATTCAGCTGAGTTTAGAAGTTTGGGAAAAAGTCAGGTTGTGCTTTGAATCGTTTGCATTAGTGAAAAAAAAAGATTCAATTGTTGCTGTATCATGGACAGCACACACACGCATATGTATCTTGTGGAAACAATTGCACCTACTGAATAGTAGTGTGAATAGTTTGAATAATTTCTGCTATATACTTCTCGTGTTAGGTAATGCAGGCCAACTGCTTTTCAACAGCAGCTCAGAGCCCAGTCCCAGTAAGAGTTTGCCGTTACTGTGCATTGGATGACAGTAGTGACATCACAATTCTCATCTTGGTACATTGAAATTTGCAGCCGTATTGATCAAGGCCATCTTCTGCTGATGTTGAACGATATAAGAGAGTTCTGATAGCATAGTTTGTGAGCCCGTTTTTTTTGACAAATTATTGAAGGCTTTATAAAACACTTGTCAAGTTAGCGCCAGAGCGAACTTGTAAAGCTGGCTGTGGCACCCCCCTGTAGACGCGCAGGCCTTTCGTCGGTCGTACTTGGCTTGTGCAGAGGGCAAGCACAGCATGGCGGCTTCACGGACCGTCTCCATTGGTGGGCGCTGCTGATAAGCAGCGGTGCAGAGGGTTTTCTCTGGACACCCGATGTTTTACCTCGAGCTTAAAGAGTTGAGCTCTTAAAACATTAGGTCTGCTTGATTACAAGGCTCTATCACAGCCACATAAGTTATTAGTTATAATAAAGAACTGAGACAGTCAAAACTGTTATTCGGGACCAGGTAGGAGCGTAGGCCTAGCTAGCGAAATCAGTGACAGTCCGGGCCCAGCGTCTTGTGCTTAGCACTGACAATGTGTTTGCCGAGATTTGCATGACCCACTACATTCATCATTACATATTTCCCCCTCGCTGAAGATGGTGCCAAGCAAGTGTTCTAAAGTGACGTGAGGACAAGTGGTTCGTGATATGGTTTGAGGCGATCCACGTACGATTTCGCGGCCTCGGCGACGCAGGTCCCCAGTGGCCGTGAGGGGTTCGATGAGGTAGTTAACAGCGGAAGTTTGTTCTATGATGCGATAAGGTCCATGGTACCTGCTGACAAACTTTGTAGAGGTACCAGGAGCAGCACTGGGAGGCACCCACAGCCAAACAAGAGAGTTGGGCGAAAATTGGTAGTTGGACCGTTCATCGTCATGACGAAATTTCTGTAGCCCTTGTTCTTGTGTTGTAAGGGTGCGAGCTAATTGCCGACATTCTTCCGCATACCGCGCAGCTTTGGAAACTGGTGTGCCTTCGGATGAGTCGGGTCGGTACGGGAAAATGGTGTCGATTGGAGATGATGGTTCTCGACCATACAGTAAAAAGAAGGGAGAAAAGTCTGTCGTTGCTTGAAGTGCCGTGTTGTAAGCGTACGTTACGTAGGGAAGGATAAGATCCCAGTTGGTGTGGTCGGAGGCGACATACAATGAAAGCATGTCGCCAAGAGTACGGTTGAAACGCTCGGTCAAGCCATTTGTTTGTGGGCGATATGCGGTAGTACAGCGGTGAATCACATGGCATTCTGCAAGAAGTTCTTGAATAACATCCACGAGAAAGACACGGCCTCGGTCGCTCAAAAGTTCACGTGAAGCGCCGTGACGCAGAACAAAACGTTTCAGCAGGAAAGATGCAACGTCACGTGCCGTCGCGGCTGGTAGAGCGGCCGTTTCTGCATATCTCGTGAGATGGTCGATCGCTACAATAATCCAGCGATTCCCAGCTGATGTATATGTTGAAGGACCATAAAGGTCTATTCCAACCCGGTCGAATGGTCGCACTGGGCACGGTAACGGCTGCATTGGTGCAGTAGGACGGCTAGGATCGTGCTTGCGGCGTTGGCACTCTGTGCAAGATCGAATGTACTTTTGAACGAATGTGTACATGCCGCGCCAATAAAACCGAAAACGTAGCCTGGCGTAGGTTTTAAACAAACCGGCGTGCGCACACTGCGGATCGGCATGGAAAGCAGCACATATGCTGGCACGGAGATGCCTGGGTATGACGAGTAGCCATTTGCGACCGTCAGGGTGGTAGTTGCGGCGATAAAGTATTCCATCACGGATGGCGAAGTGAGAGGCTTGTCGGTGTAGCGCTCGAGATGGCGGGTGGGCGAGTGTTTCAGATAGGTAATCCATCAGAGATGCAATCCACGAATCTTTGCGCTGCTTCGCAGTGATGTTGATGGGTCCTGATAGTGGAAGGAAGTTGTCTTGGATGGAGACACTCGCAATATCAGTAGAAACAGGCAAACGCGAAAGAGCCTCGACATCGGCGTGCTTTTGGCCTGAGCGATAAATGACACTGATGTACTCTTAGAGCCGTAAAGCCCATCGTGCCAAACGTCCTGAGGGATCTTTGAGGGAGGATAACCAGCAGAGCGCGTGGTGGTCGATAACAACATCGAAAGGGCGGCCGTACAGATAAGGCCGAAATTTTGTAATGGCCCAGATAATCGCTAGGCATTCTTTCTCAGTTACCGAATAATTTGCTTCTGTTCTTGTAAGAGTGCGGCTCGCGTACGCAACAACATATTCTTGGTAACCAGGATTTCGTTGGCAAGTACAGCGCCAAGACCGACACCACTAGCATCTGTGTGGATTTCTGTGGGAGCGCTTGAATCGAAATGACGCAGTATGGGTGGTGTTGTAAGCAGTTCACGGAGCTTCGCAAAGGCACTGTCGCAGGCTGGAGACCACGCAGATAGATTGCGGTCTCCCTGAAGTAGGTCTGTCAGAGGCGCCATGATCGAGGCGAAATCCCGGACGAAGCGGCGGAAGTATGAGCAAAGCCCAATGAAACTGCGCAGCTGCATGAGAGACGCGGGCCGCGGGAACTCGCGAACAGCACGTACCTTAGCGGGGTCAGGAAGAACGCCATCCTTCGACACGACGTGTCCGAGAATGGTCAGCTTGCGCGCTCCAAAGTGACATTTCTTCCAAGTTGAGTTGGAGGCCTGCTGCAGAGAGGCAGCGTAGAACCTGTTCCAAGCGACGAAGGTGCGTGGGAAAATCGGGCGAGAATACCACTACATCGTCTAAGTAGCACAAACACGTGTTCCATTTGAGGCCTCGTAGGATAGTGTCCATTATGCGCTCAAATGTTGCCGGCGCATTGCATAGGCCGAATGGCATCACGTTAAATTCGTATAAGCCGTCTGGTGTAACAAAGGCAGTTTTTGGCCTATCATCCGGATTCATGGGCACTTGCCAGTACCCAGAGTGTAGATCAAGGAAGGAAAAGAACTCTGCGCATTGTAAAGAGTCGAGGGCATCATCGATTCGAGGCAAGGGATAAACATCCTTTCGTGTTATTTTGTTTAGGCGACGATAATCTACGCAAAAGCGTATCTTGCCATCCTTCTTTTTAATTAAAACAACTGGTGACGCCCAAGTACTGTTTAATAGTTGAACGACGCCTCGCTTTAGCATGTCACCTACTTGTTCATCGATGACATGGCGTTCAGTCGGCGAAACATGGTATGGTCGCTGCCGTAGTGGTGGGCGATTACCTGTGTCGATCTGGTGGCATACGGTAGATGCTCGACCTAAAGTAGCGCTGTGACTGTCAAAAAATGGCCGAAACTTGTCAAGGAGGCTCAAAAGCTCACACCTCTGTTGTGGGTTTAGGCCTTCGTTGATGACACGGTTGAAAATGTCTGTAGTAGAAGGGTCATTCACGGAACTACAGGAGAGGGCGCTGACTTCCGATGATTCATCAGGAACGTCAAGTGTAGCGATGGTTTCGAATGATTCTGTCGAACCGATACATTCGCCTCGAAGCAGCCTAAATAACATGTTGGAACGTGTATAAATGGCTAAAGATACTTTAGACTTATAGCACTTAAGGAACGAACACATATTAAAGACAGGCAACATTCTGAGCACAAACTATCAGTCCTGTCATCTATCCCGCATTCACCTGCTCCTTACAACCTGAATATCATGATCCAACAAGCCCGAATATCTGCTATCTTGACAGTGCTTTTATTAGCATGTTATATGACCAAGAACATTTCCACACACACAAAAATTATGACATAGAATCACAGCTGCAACTAAAATGTAAGTATTTGAGTTAATTTCTTGAAGCCTATCGAGGCTGAAGCTGGGCGAATTCCTAAGCTGCAGTCCAAACTTTATTTGTAGAAGTGAGACTGGGTGATCATCATTCAGTATGTAAGACCAGTTTTGGTAAAAGCTGTGATTGAGGAAACTCGCTTGGTCTCTGCATTTAATCTAGGCAAGACTAGTGGCTTCGTTCCTCCCTCTGAAAGATGTCTGGTAAGGTTTCTGCCGAATGAATCTTTTTGGTAGTTGTGTACCTCTGTCTGAAATCTACAACTGGTTTTCTTAATTTTTTTAGGAATTAGTTATGGGGAGGTTAACCAAGAAATGCAAGAGCAATTAATAATTGCCAGTTAAAATGTGAGAAGGTATAGTACAAGTGAACCACTTTACAAGAGACGCTGATGCGAGAGACAAATGGGTACAAGAGAGACCAGTGTGCCTGCACGGTAATACAGATTAATAAAAAAAAATGCATACATGGTAGCTTGCTCATATAAAAGATAAGAATTCTTCCCCGGTGCATGTCTCTTATAAAGGGGTAAACTGTATTCATAAATGCTAGTTTGAAGGAAAGCTATGTAGACGTAATTTTGGCAATCTCTTGATTGACTGATGATTTGTGGGGTTTAATGTCCCAAAACCACCATATGATTATGAGAGATGCCGTAGTGAAGGGCTCCGAAAATTTCGACCATTCGGCAATCTCTTGGGGCAGTACATTAACAACATACAAATGTGTTCTAAAAACAGTGTGTTGACAGTTATTGCTTTGGTAAATCCTGAATAAAATTCATGTGCACTTCACGAAAAGTGTGCATTTCAGACAAAAAGCATGTCTGCTTCTTATCTGCCCGTCTGGTGTTGTTTCCAGTATAGTGAATTTTGATTGCAGGTTTTCAGATGCGATACTCAACGCCTAACATTGTAGTTTGTATATGACCCAAATATTCTTGTTTCTGCCTGTAATAAACAGCAGTGTGAAGACACGTCTATTTAAAAGAATACAACCACATACTATTTATGTGGAACTATAAATCTACCTGAACATTAATGCGAGTGATGTGAAGCACCATGCCCCCTATAAAGTGCCTTATGGTGGGGGGGGGGGGGGGGGGGGGGGGGGGAGAACAATACTTGCGATCACTGTCTGCAAACTTGACTATTGGCCATCTGAAGAGCAAAGCTGGTTGTTTGCAGGCATTGCCAGATCACTCACTCAGCCGAATTAACTGAATAAAGTTCTTTACTCCTTCAGCTGCTCTCGTGGCATCTCATGATGGCAATGCAAATTTGAGATGCTAAACCCCAACAGTCATTATTATAGTAATATGTGGAGAAGCTTTGTTCAACTAAACTGCCGTACATTAGTTATCAGGCATATACAAGGTTCTAATTACTTTAACTGTTAATCTCAACACTATGTACAGCCATATTTCGATGCTCTTCCATTTGATGTGCCAGATTGTAATACAATTTTTTCTGCGCAGAGTTGGACAGCAAAGCCAGCAACCTGTCCCTTCTGTCACAGAAGTACAAGAAGGATGCAAGATATCTGCATTTGCGCTCAACCTACGCAAAAATAGCTGCAGTGTCCGTGCTCATTTTTGTAGCATTCCTGTACTTCTACATCTTCTAGGTGCTATGCTTTTGCAGTTAAAAAAAGTGCTTTGTTGACACAAACTGCAAGAGATACTCTCATTTGTACTGGCTGTCATACTTGTATATACGTACTGTGATTTCTGCATGTCTTTACACTGTGCAGATGTGCAAATTGGCATCTTGGTATGCTAAACTTGGTGTGTGTGTGTGTGTAACATGAAATTTTCGTTGCAGTAAAAACTAAAAAATAAACTGTCCGAGGCATGCACTTTATTAAAAACAGGTAAAAAAATCTTTATAAAAATATAGTAAACCTTCAAGAATTGTACAGCAAAAAATGGCTGCTAATCACAGTTCCTGCCTCCACCGTGGTTCTTCTTGTAGAGTCTTCTGAGAGATCACAATGTTATCACCAGTTTCATCGGGTACTTTTTCTGCAAATGGTAAAATTGTTTCAGTACCTTAAACCACTCTAAATTGCCATGACAATGAGAGAGAAAAGCATTGGCCCTGTTCAACCATCTCACCTGTTGAGTAGCTTGAAACAAAAGTGTAAAATTAGTGAATTTTATCGCATAGTTCCTTTCACAGTTGTACCAGCTTCAATTTGTAACCAGAAAGGTAAACTGGAGCTATATGCAATACTCTTAAATCTGCCATACCGATGCACCCACTGTATTAAACAGCATTGTGTGCTTGTGTGTGTGTGTGAGAGAGAACCGGAGGCACTGACAGTGTCCAACAATCTACCTAGGCACTCATGGTAGACTCCTTAACTTCGTATAAGCCGAAATTGGTGTAAGAGGGCGCTAGTATGATGAGCAAGACTGACTAGCCGTGTCGTGACTGTCCGGCATGGCACAAAGGTACCCAGATGCCATGGCTCTTAGCATGCATCACGGGTTATTCAGTCTGTATGAACCCAGGACAGTAATAAATACAGAGAAAACTTGAAAGATTTTGGATCATACAAAAAAAAGAGATATGGTTTGTTATAGTTGGAAGAGTTAATGAGGCACAAAAAAATCTAGAAGAGTTGAAAAGTGGGCTATGGAAATTTTGACAAAAGAACCTTACGTGACAGAAAGAGCTGGACACAAACAAGTGCAAACTGACGCTGACTTATTCACAAAATACACACCAAAAAAAAAAACCATGAGGGGAAGTGAAAGAAGAGCGAGGGTTCACTGAAATAGAGTCTTTCAGAAAAGAGAAATCTCAATCTAAAAGTGCTGTGTTTTTATGAAAAAGGCTTCTGCAATATTTATAGTTTCTTTTGCGTCATTAACAGACAGGCATGAAAATTCAGGTACGCAACTGCACTTTGTGCAATGGGTAGACAAATGTAAATCTAGTGCAGACTTTAACACATTGTAGTGCTCATGCAGGTATACATTTAGGCAGTGCCCGGTCTGCCCCAATATATACCCTGTCACAAGACAATAGAATGAAAAAAAAAAAAAACATTCAGTCGACAGTTCGTGACACTTTTTACATGATCAACCCACAACCCTTTTACATGGGGCCTACTTTCATTTTGCTTTGCATGTCAATTTTCAAACACAGCTGCTGCAATTTTTTAGCTGGCAGAATTACATTTTTTTGCACATTTTTCATTGTCTTCAGCTAAACAAGCTAGAAACTACATTGGAAGTTCTTTTTTTTAACCAAGAACTTGCAAATTGGATGTTCTCTTTCAGGTGATAATCATGAAACGTGGCACTTGGATAGAAATTGTTTGTCCAATTTCAACTGTCCACCTTGAAGTTTCAGGACCTTTTTCTTGTAAAAGGCTCTAACAAGGTTGTCAAATTCTTAAACAAAAAAAATGTCCATTAGCAGTGATTTTAGCACTGATATACTCAACTTATTTTACTTAGTACGATAACCTGAACTTTTAAAGTGTACCACCCAGGCAAATTCATCAGTAATGGGCGGGCAGTGTTGACAGATTTATGGGGCTACTCCTTTTTTACCTGCACTCGACTCGTAATTTGGGCCAGTAAGTTTTAAGTAAAAAATCTGGCATTTGATTGGCTCTCGTGTAGCACCTGAACCATGCGATATCTCAAGTTATTTGGATTGGGTTTTAAAGATGATGGTGAGTAGCCCTGCAATCAATATCTTCAGGTATATGAACCTCGTGCTAGTAGATTCTGCTACCATGGAGCTGAACCTAACCGAGATTATACTAGAAATCTTTAAGCAAAAAGGGCATGGACGTCATTTTACGCATGAAGTTCTGCAACGTAATACTATGTTGCAGTTTCTTGATCTTGAGCTATCTTTTCATGCAAATCACTTATGCTGGTTTTAATGTTCTCATTCAAAAAAATTGATTTAAGATTATTCATTTTTGCATTCTAACGTAGTAAATCGGTTGCCGAAGTTGACCTTCTGAAGCCAGCTGTTAAGAAGTTGTGTAACTGCAAAATGGCATGTTTTTGCAAAACAAACGAGTAGATTGCAAAATGCAGGCTTTCTGACCAATGTTCTGTTTGCCACTTGAAAGGTTTTGCCTCATAGAAACAGAGGATGCCCTAATCAAACTGCAAAAAAAGCGACAGTGGTTTGTGGTAGTTTTGTAGGTTCATGGGTTTCTGCACAAGTTTAAGGAAATGTGCAAAAAGTAGAACATTAATTTGTTTTTTCTGCCAGTTGAAAATTTTAGCAGCCATGTTCGAAAATTTACATACAAACTGAAGGTATGCCTCATTAAGAAGGACTCTCCTAATCATGTTGATTATTTCATGAACTGTTGATCAAATGTGGTTAATTGCATTCCATTGTCTTGTGACCAGGTATGTCGCGGGCAGAATGGGCACTGCCTGAATGTGTACCTTTGTGAGCACTACAATACGCTAAAGTCCACACCAGGTTTGCATTTGTCTGTCCACTGCACAATGTGCGGTTGCATACCTGAATTTTCACGCATGCTTGTTCTGCGCAATAATTAATCATGACATGAAAAATGGGGAAATTGCGGAAGCCTTCTTCATAAAAAAAAAGCATGTATTACTGTTTGAATTGTGAGATCTCGTTTATCAGCGACACTTGATTTAGGTGGACCATCCGTTCTGCATTTTCCTTTTATATATATATATATATATATATATATATATATATACACACACACACACACACACACACACACACACTACATACATACATACATACATACATACATACATAGCTCACTGGTAGGGCATCGAACGCGTTATTCGAAGGTACGGTTCCTGCTCACGGCAAGTTATCTTTGCTTTTCACGCACTTTTCTTTTTTAGCATTTACATTAGAATTGGGTCTAATAATTTCCCCTATACATCCCATGGCATTATTGTCTGTTAAATTTTATTAATATTGTGTCAAAACACGGAAAAATGAGCCCTTAAGTATACACTTCTTTCCCTTTTGTGTGTGCGTGTGTGCGTGTGTGTGTGTGTGTGTGTGTGTGTGTGTGTGTGTGTGTGTGTGTGTTTTCTGTCAAATTTTAGCAGTATCAGTCTTCCTTTGCTTTTGTCTTACTCTCTCTGTGTGCTGTTAGTTTGTGCTGCCAAAATTTCACATTAAGTGGCACACAAATGCACATGTACTGCTATAACTCAACAAGACATAGTCTGGCGTTGCTCATTGCAGCAAAAATATGCCGATGAATGCTGCTCAAACTTCCTTTAGATGAAAGTGACATCTGTTCAGTAATGCATCAGGCAATGAAGTACCCTATAGATGCCAGTGCAGTCAACTTGCCTGCTAAGCCCAGGATATGCACGCTACTCAAATAGACCTTTTTCAAGCGCATTAGCGCCGCTGACGGGCGCGCAAGCATTTATGGGAAAAGTTGGTACACCACAGCAGCCGCCAAGACGAGCGCACAAGCCTCATGCTTCAACTTTCTGTTTGCACCATGCCAGTGCTTCTGAAATCAAGTGAACTCAGCAAGGTGTGATATATTACTGCCTGATTCACTCGCAAACTGCAGTGTTTGGGTGCGATGGCCTGTCAACGATTTGCACTTGTCCTCATGTTCAACCAGCTGAGCGGCTGAGAAGCGTCAGTTAGCCCGTCAGTTAATTATTATTATCCTTTAGCATCATTCCACCTTCAACATAGAAAACAGTACAACTTTGTGGCCCAAAAAGTGCAAGCACTGTCTGTAAATTCACGGTTGCATTAGAAGTCAATGTCCTTTGATGCTGTTTACGAGTAAATTGCATGGTTTTGGTATATTTAAAGAGTGCTTCAGAAATAACAGGTATTCTGTAAAATAACATACATTCACTAGACTACTGTGCACCGTGCGCAGCAAATATGTACATCTACCAACTTTTCTTGGCACTGTAATTGCAGATTGTAATAAAGCTTGCAGGGCGAAAAGAAAGCAGGACCAAAAAAGAAATATGCACGCCGGTAACTCTCACTCTCAGTTAATCCATGCAAAACGTGTGCATGGATTAACTGTAACATTCTTAGTTTCTTTGCGGGTAAAAGTCGCGCATGTCACAAGGAGGTACAAAAAACTAACAATCGAGGCAAGTGTTTACAGTTGATTAATTAAGTAAGTTTCTTGTGTTGTAGTGATAGCAAAGGTTAATTGACTTAAAAACAAGGTGCGATGTTCTTTATAATATGTCTACGAAATTTCTCGCGTCATCTGGTTAGGGTAACTGAAAGATTACCAGGACTTCAAAGGTGAAATTGCATTTGAATTACTGAACATACAAGGTGAGATAAGATGACTTCATTCAATGAATTTTGATGCTCTGTATGTGTGTTGATAAGTCAACCAGTCTGACCGATCTATATATGTTAACACAAGAGGAATTCGCTTGGCAACTCTTGCACAACAATTGAAAGAATAATTGGCATGCCTCTTATAGTACTTTTCTATGCCCACTGCAGACCCCTGCGACTTTTTGCGCTCTACAAAGAAATGTTAAGCATATGGTGTGGAAAACACAACCCTCTCCTTGTATCGCGTTGAACTTCCTTTCAGACTGTGCAAAACGTGTGCATGGATTAACGGCGACATTCCTAGTTTCTTTGCGAGTGAAGGTCGTCTGAATTGATTTTTTTTTTTTTGCAGTGCAAATTAGCTGTTCACGAACCGATGCAATATGATAAAGGCAGGACATCGCGCCTTCTTGCTCATGTAATGTGCCCAAGTTTTTTTTTCTTCGCCGAGCATAAGTACGATATCATCATTCCTCACTGAACAACATTCGAATGCGTCAATCCAAAATTCAATCGTGGTCTCACTCAATGCAGAATATACTGCCAGCAAACATGCTCTGCACACACTTAAGCATTTTATTTATAAGAAATCGCAAATGATTAGAGCAAGGTATCTCGCATGTGAATTCTAGTTCTATCCCTTCGTCTTTGAACATGTGTAGAATGTGTTTACTTTTCTTTTTTTCAGCGCGCGACTTGTCCATAAAAATGTTAAAAATTCTATAGCTCTAACACTTCTCCACAGTCTTGTGTTAACGACACAATCAAACTGCGATGGCAATAAGAGCCACAACGCTTTATGAGCAGTTCATCACTGAATAACTATGAATTCAGTGTTCCAGCTCGCATTCCACACGATAGCATGTTTTGACCAAAAGTATCGGTACGCAACAACTCGCATGCCACTCATCATGTACACCCGTTCAGTGACACACTGACTGCGTTATTCATTTCACATTTCATGTGTGAAATGTTTTCATGTGTGAAAAGTGTTCATTTCATGTTTCAGATATATAAGCAAGTGTACTTGGACCCTATTCAACAAGCAGCGGCATGTTCTTTTCGTTTTGTATTGCACGGCGCTAACGAGCAGCGGGCGGAGAAAGAGCTCGATCTCTCGGCGTACCAACTTTTCCCATAGTGCTCCGCGCGCCCGCAGGGCATTATGGGATTGCTTGAAAAAAGGATATCAGTCCACCTCGTAACAGTTGGCTTGAAGAGTGTGATACGGGACTACTTTTTTTTTTTTTAGGTGAGGTATTCTTTATTTATTTATCGTGAATACATTGAAAGGCTGACGACAAAAGCTGCATACAAGCAGCTTGACAGGCCCGTCAGCCCAATTCAAACGTCGGCAGCAGACGGCAGATATGCATGCTGTAGAAATTTACAGTAATAGACACAGCACACCAAAGTATCGCAATTCTATTGCGATAACAAAAATATGCAAGTAAAAAATATATGCACGCTAACAACTAAACAAACCTGCTGACTGCTTTCTCACATGAAATTAATTTCCACAATGTACGACATCTGCTGGAAATTTTAGATTGGCTATGTTGTTGGGCAGGCATTAGCATGAAGAAATATTTGCGCATTATTTTTTTAAATTTGTATTGGCTCTTTTATGGCACAAACTACAGTTGAACCCCCTTAGAAGACATGATGCATTGGGGAATAACTCTTTTCTTTTATATGAGGTGTCTCTTATAAGCAGGGTACATGTATGCACCCAGGGTAACACATCTTAAGAACCCCTATGTTAATGCAAGCATGCAAGTGTGTCTTATATTCAATTATCTGTTATAACAGTGTGTCTTAAAAATGAGTTCGACTATATATTAAACCTGAAATTACAGTAGTTAAGTCATGTCTGTGTGCCAAACATCACTTTTGAGATATGCAAGTTCTTTGAGTGAAAGAAAGGAAACTAAGTTGTTTTTTTTGTGCACGTGTGTGCGTGCATGTGTTAGACACAACCTTAATAAGAAACATCACACATTCAAGCCAAGGAAAGTGCAAAAGCCATTGGTTGCAGTAAATATGATATAAATGTGAAGAAATTAAAGTGATTAAAAAAACAACTTGCCACCACCAGGGATCGAACTTGCAACTTTCAAATAACTCGTCCGCTGCACTGCCAGTTGAGCTATGCTGGTAGTCGTCGAACCGTCTACTTTACAAGATGTATCTGCATTTAAACCTGGGAGCGTTCAGCAGCACCGCTCGTTGACATGACGATGAATGTGTAACACTTTTTTTTGCCTGCTGGCATCACTTAGCACGTGATCTATTTATGGGCTGGTAGCTGACCAATAATATCTCACATACAACAATCCACACTGTGAATGACGAAAAGAAGGGGAATTTAAGGGCTCATGTTTCTTTGTTAGGCGCAACCTTAATGAGAACCAACAGACAGTCAAGCCACGAGAAATATAGGAGACAGTTGTAGACGAAAGGACAACTTTCTTTGCAACAAAATACACTTGGCACTTTACTGAAAGCATTGATGTTAACTAAAATACTGAGGCTTTTTTAATTTTACAGCTCCCTTCAGTAGATTAGAGAATTGATATCTTGTAATTGAGCACAAGCCACATGAATAAGTGTTATTTTATTTGAAAATTTTTATTTTATTGTTTGAAGGTCATGTTAGCTTTTTAGAAACGAGATTCATGCATACTTAATCTAACAAGATTTCTTATATTTGGGGTAACTTTTTCCTAATAAACTAATTCACTTGCGAGTACTACAGAGATATGTGAATCTCTATCATTTTATTTTTTTGCACTACTGTTCCAATAATAGCAAATTCTGTTTTTTATTTCTGTTTTAATGTTTTTTTACTTTCAGGGCCCATACATTCTGACAAAAAAATAACTTTTTTGCACATTGTTAAGATGGCAACATTATATATGCACGAAGACAGAAACCCTAGCACATTTAGCCATAGAAATTGATGGCTACCAAGATGTACTGTGCTTTCTATGATGCTAACTGTGGATGTGACCATTTTCGATTTCCACTTGCTTACCATTAACTACACGAACAAACTTAAAGGAGACATGGCTTGTGGGGATATTTGGTGTATTTTACGTCCAAACCTGATGAAACTAAATATACTTGTGTAATCTTTCATACTGGTTTCATCATTTTTCTGTTAGGTAAACTGGTTTAAGAAATACAAAAAGCCATCTCTCTACTGTTTCTAAAAACAAGAGAAAAAAAGCATGCAGCAGGAAATGCACATGATTGGACAGCTAGATACTACAATATGCACTAAGTGCAACACTGCAAACTGTTTCCAGATCAAATCATAACTAGCCATTCTGCACATGGTTGAAGTTCAATGTTCGTACCATGACTGACAAAGAAAAAAAAAATCAAGAGCAAAAAGTGACAATACTGCACTCTGCAATTTGTGATACACAGCTTAGTCTTTATGCTGCAAAAAATAATTACAGCTCAAGCTGTTCTAGGTTATGAGTACGGATCTGTGCTATAAGATCAATCCAAAAAATCGAATGAACACTCGCTGGCATAACTTTTCATAATTCGGATTTATCTAACAAACCTCCTTTTAAAGGCCAACATGACCCTGCTCCATTCTTTATCGAAAGGGCATGTTCTCATTAAGCGGTCATCCATACATCAAGTTCGGTCGCTATAAACTTTACTTCGAGTCAGCAATACCTTGTAGATTGCACTCCCATCACACATTTTGGCAAGGGCTTTTCGTGCACAGAGTGAGACAATTGCGCTCAATAAACTGAAACTGAAACATGTCAACGCAGGTATGGCCACTGAGTGCGCAAGACATCTAAATATATGAAACTTTTGTATTCAAGCGTTTGTGCTAGTGTGTAAATGTGTGTGCGTTCAAGGGTTTCAGACCGCTAAAATACACCTCCCATGTTCCGATGTTTTCATGTTCAGATATCGTTTCATGTAACATATTGTAATGTTGAGAATAATGCAAAACTAAAATCTGAATTTTGAAGAATTGAGAATTTACTAGAAATAAACTCCGATAAATGCCAAATTTTTACCAGAAAGATATACTCCGAAAAACACCCTCGGAATTTCATGAAAAGTAATCTAATCATGAAGATATTGCTCCAACAAGCTAAATAAGTGATTAAAAAAACATTTCAGATTCAGCTCGTACTCATTGCACAAATCTATATTGCGAATGAAACACGCGTCTTACAAGACTTAAAAGTAGGTCTCCATGTAGTAAAACAAAAATCGCTTTTTTATTTAATGATTTCTTGGTCCCCACAAGCCATGTGACCCCTTCTTGCATGCATAAAATGTTCTCTATATTTCTAAACATTACCTGCAAATAGGCAGTCCAGCTTACCAGAGTGAAATTTGATACCATAATGCGAGTGATATAATATGGTACAGGAATTTAGATAAAGTGAGTGAAGACCTACTGTAGCAACATGCCATAACGCTTTCATCATGGTCACCCACTAGTTGCACACAGCCTACAGTATACTAGTATTACGAATGTAAAGCTGAATTCCTAAGACTGCATCCGAGCAATGTAAAGACACTTGCTGCTACAGCTTTCCAGTGCACTGGCACACAAGATCTAAAAGCACCCGTGAGAGATAATATCTATTGGAGTCCAATTTCTTACCGAGATGGGGCTTGGACTCGTAGGAAACCTTTGGACGGCATTTAGATGGTCTGTATGGCATTCCCCTGTACGCTTTCTTGGCGATGCAGAACTCGAGAATCCTGCAAAAATTGCCATGCATCACAATTCACACAGTATCAGTATAGTGCTTATTCTTCCCTCACCTGTTCCAACAGGGATCCTCGCTGAGCGTGTAGGGATTTCCAACTATCACCATAAGTCCTTTTGCTCTTGTCAAGGCCACATTGAACCGCTAAAACAGCATATATGCATAGTGTCATGAATTCGAATCTCTAATACAGCTATTGCCACACTGTTACTGTGCTGAGTAAGCGTGCAAGAAAAAACATAGCGCCTGGATAGCAGTTTGGTAAAATGTTTATTATTCACATCTATATGTGGCGTGTTGCTTTGTTTTGAAGCTTGAGATCAGAAATACGTACTGCACCTGTTACAATGTCAAAAAGTAAAGTCTAGTTGACCATTTTCAGTATTGGCTTGCTGGTCTTTGTATTTCCTATTATGACCGGCTGCATGGTCAACACAAATGAGGCCGGGGAAAAAAAAGAAAAGATTGCAGCTGCTCTAGAATCAATATTCTGCATTTTGGGTGCAATACATGCATTTTGACAGTGTTTGAACAAGCATTGTAGCTGAAGTCTATGTTTCAGCAAAAATCGAGACTTGTCCTCACCATTGTAAAAACAATTCCCTGTGATGATACAACAGGTTTCAGTGAAATTTCTTGTTTGACTACTTGAGCTTCCAGTCTTCTGGAAACACCTTATTTTAGGTCCTATACTGAAGCATCTAATTCTTTGTGGTCCGCTGTCAAGAAGCACCCGGCATCGCGTAGTGGCTCATCCACTTCACTGCTGGAAGGCACCCACCAAGGAGTTTTAAACTGTGCGGATTTTTGTAAATGAATTACTTGTCACACCATTTTTTGTATAGGGGCACAAGTGTTTAATAGACAGTTCTTATTGCTTTCTCAAGAGGTGGCATCACCATACAACACACAAGAAAGAAACTGCTAGTTCGGCTCCTGTAACGGCAATGGCGACGACAACGCGAGCACTATTCTAATCACCATCTTCATCACTTCAATGGAGCATCCTTTCTTGTAAGCCCCAGCTTATAACGATATTGCCAGCTGGCACTTTTCTAGTGTGCGGTGCACCTATACCACTGGCTTTGTAGAAAGTGATAAGAAAAATATGATCCTCCATGAAACAAAAAAAAAAACGCTCATTAGACGAGTGCTCCAATGATGGGAATCACAAACACAACACAGGCGGCCTGAGCGAATATTCACGCACTTCAAATATTCGAACAAATATTACAGTATTTGAATTCGCTTCGACACGATTCTGAATTTGCAGGTATTTAACATGTACAAATAAATGCACAAATCGCACGTAACCCTCAGTAAAAGTGGTTTCACTGCATCAAATATGTGCTATGCCGTGAACACACTTAAAAAAGGCAGCCCAGCTCTACACTTTCGTCAGGGTTCGCACCACTAAGGCAAAGGTGCTTTAATTTTTTTTCACGGCACCTAAGGTTATGCAAGAATTTATTCCAGAATGTACCAGAGGTAAAATGGGTAGAAATTTAGAACGGCAGAAGGCTTAACGTACCGTGCAATCTCGGGCAAATGCCCCAACCCGAGCGGTCACCCCACTCCCTTTTTCGAAAGACTTGAAATATGCAGCCACTTCTCCCCTCTCAGCGTTTTCACTGTTTTATTCACTTCATTTATTCACACTGCTTTTGTTCACCCAGCGAGGGCGAATAAAAACTGAATGCATGACTATTTAATTAAGGGGAGACGTGGCACTGACAATTATCTTTGTTATTTATAGAGCCAAAGGAGTGAAATTCGGCATGCAGATGTCATTTGTTGTGCCGATAACTAAAATCTGTTTCGAGTTATCTAATATAACCTTTGATTTACAACACTTGATAGACTCATTGTCATCCCAAAATTAATTAGCTAATTAGACACAAGTTCGTCAAAATTTTTGTATAAGAATATTCACAAGGGTTCATTTTGTGCCGTAATGCCATTGGTTTATTTTTAACATTTAAGTAAGCCGACAAATTTTTTTTTTTAATGCCCTAGACATTTTGTTTTACCAACAACTTTTACAAAAAGCAAATTACAAAAGTCTGCATGATGTGCAAACAAATATGGACAGCTTTAAGGCACTCACCAATGTCCCAGAATCTAAGTACAGGAAACGAAATGGCTATAGCTTAATTTGTTGTGAAATGGCACAGGGACACGACTGACAGCAACTGCTCAAAAAATGAAAGCTGAGAAAATAGAGCTAGAAGCTAATAAAACGGAACTCTGAAGGAAGCTGGCTTCATTTTTCATTGGAGAAATGCATCTTTGTGGCTATCTTGAGCTCCAATTTGTGTCCTCTTTATGATGATGCCAATATGGTGGCACTGTGTGAAGGGAAAGCTTCAAATTTTCATTTTTCTAGGCCCAATTTTATCATAGCTTTTGATGACAGCCCACCAGTAAAATGCTTGTTTCTCAACTTCTACTTATTTTGGTCTAATATCACACTATCATGTAAAACATGGTCTCAGGATTACAAAAAAAAATTAATTGAAAATCTAAACATTTTGACCAAGTTTACAATTTTCATTGCCACGTCCCTCTAAGTATTTAATTAAAAGCACAAGTGTGCATTAGTTATTCTTAACGGATCTTTTGAGGCCATTTCGAATTCCCACCCATGACCAAGAAGGGCCTCCCCTCCAAATCTTGTCGAATTATTCTTCACCATAGGGAAGGGCGCTTGCTTGGGATTTTACAGTAATGCAAATATAGTTTTATGCTTGTTAAACTAATGGCATCCTCACTTGACATCAACCCAAGACATTTTTTTGCTTGCATTTATTTCTAACATCAAATGTTAAACAACACTATTAGGGATAGCCCTGAAGGCAATGTTACACTTCCGCTAAACCAGGATGTTAACGTAAGGCAACAGGAATGTGCATGTGCTATATTTACCTTTGGGTTTTGAAGAAATCCCAGGTTGTGGCTCACATCACCATGAACAAGATTACGGTTGCTCCGAACAGTTGTTATGATTATAATCAAACGTTCTTGGCCTTGAAATTCCTCAGTAGAACCCACGCTAACATCTTTGTGGCCTCTCTTATCAAGCAGACTTCGGATCTTTAGTACCTGTAAAAAAAGTAAGAATGTTTTCAGCTTGATTTAGTTTAGATGGTTATAGATAATAAACTACAGTTTTTAGTTGTTATAAACTAGTTTGCAAATATACGTAGAAAGAAAGGTCAGGGGTAGGAGAGTTCAAAATGCAGCAGCTGGAAGTGAGTCATTACCTATAGGGAGAGTCAGTTTATTGACTGGATATTTTTCAGTGCCACACAAATTAAGTTATGGTGTATAAGTATGCTATAAAACTTTTCTGTTCTATAAAAAGTTATTTCAGATGATATAACCCATGGGAGAACCTTATTGATTCTATCTGGGACAGGCATGCACGGAAGCAAGTGTATGAGAATCTCATACATTTCTGCTTACAACTATTCTGCTTAGCACTGCAAGAATGGAAAATGCGTTTCACGCATGCATCTCCATAGAAATGATTGTCGAAACCTAGAATTAACCTGTTAGTTGTTAGACCATTCTACATGAATAAAAAGATCGTGGAGAGTAGGAAGAGAGAGAGGATAAGCATCACCTTAACTTGAACAATATGTATGCACAACATAACATTTTGTAAGACTGCGCAAAGAATATTTTAGGTGTCAGAGAATATAGCCTAGAGAAATGTACTAGCAGATATGTTTTTCGTAATCTTAGCCTCATACGAAACCTTTTAAGTGCGTAGCTTTTTAAGGTCCAGCTCATCGTCTATCCATAAATCTCATGTGATGTGGTCACACTCAAAATTAAGTGGTTAAAACAAGCCTAAAACAAGGCTAGCAATGCAGAAAACAGAGTTGATTTAAAAGACAGCTGAAAAGGTAGAATTTAGAATTACCAGAACTAACCAAGAAATGATTGCAATGATTAACTCAAAATTGCTAAAAACACTTTTGAAGACATGTGGCTAACTCAAACCGTTAAAGAGAGGGTGCCACTGTTCCACCAAGCAAACAACTGCTCCTCCACCAGCACTTCTCTAACACTACACCTGAAGGTGAAAAGAACCTACTCACTGAAAACGACTCAGTTAGGTAAAAAGAGCAGCGGGAATTCCATGAATAAAAATCAGTGGGTGCCCATGCTACGCACTTCCTCAGGTGTCAAAGTAGTGAAGCCACATTTGATTGATTATGTGAGGTTTAACTCTCGAAACCACCATATGATTATGAGAGACACCATAGAGGAGGGCTCCGGAAATTTCGACCACCTAGGGTTCTTTAACGTGCACCCAAATCTGAGCACATGGGCCCACAACATTTCCACCTTCATCGGAAATAGTGGAGCCAAATTTAGCACAGGACTTAGAACTACACAAGTTACTACACACGAACAATATTTTTTTGTTTAAGCATAGAACAGCTGAAGTATTGGAGCAGATAGGCTAATGCTTAAAAAAAAATTGCACTGTAGGAGAAAAGTGCATGGACAGAAATTAGCAAAAAAAGAAAATGAATAGATCTTAACTTAAACACAATTTCAAAACTCAAATCGTAACCGATCATGAGTGCCCCATTCTGAATCCAAAAGCAGCGCACCTAATGTGCTCACAATTTACCAACCTGCTTACGGTACGGAGAAACAATTCCAATGTCAGTCTCTCGAACCTTGGTTCGCACTCCATTTTTACCATCCAGCAGAGATATCACATAGTCCACCACAACTTTGACTTCATCCGGGTTGAAATAAGAGGGGTTGTTACCCTCCCTCATGTCCTTTCCACACACACCATGAAAAAGGAGTGGCACACCCTTCGTTGGCAGAGCATCCCATGTCAACATGCTCTGTGTGATCATCTCATCTGCAAACACCTGCAATGGTAGATGCAATGGTTCATGCATGATTCCATAGCTACACATCAGCAACCTGCTCATTTGCTAGTCTTAATTCTCCTTATGAATACATTCCTACAATGACTGTTACCCCTTTTGTTAATGAGAGCTGTAACAAAGAAGTTATACATATGCTGTAGGGAGGCATGCTTCTTGGGAGTTTTTTAGTATCAGCCAAGAGGCCAATGCACAAGTGTTTTTTGCATTGCAGTTCAGTGGTAAAGTGTTAACACAGCATAGAACTGAAATAATGGTCTTGTGTCAACCAGCTAAACACAACTAATAAGCCATAATAACATTTTTGTGCTTTTTTTAACCGTTCATTACACAACTTCGAATGAAAAGGTGACTGTACTCAAAATGCTGTGAAGAACCATATGAGATTGATAGTATCTCATTTTTTGTTCTTTTTGAACATAGGTATGTTTTGTTAGCTATGCCTAACTTTATAAACTGGAACAACTTGCTACACGCGATTAAAGTACAAGCAGTTAATGAAGCTCACTTATTCATGGCAATCCAGGAGATTATGTACCCTTAGGTAAATTAATACAATGCATTGAGACTCAATTTTTATGTTCCGTAGAGCTACGTCTGGGTGCTTGAACTAGAACAGCAACAAATCGGCAAGTACGCACCAAGTCAAGAACCACGACAGAACACTGAGAAACACAATAACCACAGCTTCTCGACATCTATGCCAAACGTAACAGTTCAGAAGGGTGAGGAACTTTGTCGGCATTGTGATTAGAACACTAAAAAATATAGGGGTGTAGACAGCAAGATCATAAACACAGCACAGTGTTTGCATTGTCACCCCCCCCCCCCTTTTTTTTTTCATTACACACAGCCATGGTCCTACAGGAGAAATGTGCAGCAGGAAGGCTACTTGTAGGTGTTCAGGTGTCAGATTTAAATCCAAAGTCCTAGAGTAATTGTGGTTGAGAAACTTCGCATAGCAGCGAAAAATTCCATCTATCTAACAGTTGTTCAAAGCTAAAAACTGGCAAATCAAGCCACGGCGCAAACCTACAAAGGAAACTGAATTTAGGTTTCTTAGATTCACAGTTGAAATAGAAATTCATATTCCACTTTGAAGGTTTTCGCAGTACTGATTGGTCTATTGGAGTCAAATGAAACTCAAACTGCGGCAAGCACCCGCAATGATACAGTGCACGTCATCCAGTCATCAGCATGGACAGAGGTGCATATGCAGAGTGCTGCCAAACTGAATGGTACACCTATCAATACTATAGTGATGACTGAGAGGCGTGCAATTTATCATTGCGAATACTTGCCACTGTTTTTCATTTGATCAAGATAGTACATACTCAATGCTTTTCAGACATTGGAGGAATCACCATGGTAAGGCATATTGCAATATGTCTCAGGTTTGATTCCAAGGTTAATAATTTGTGGCTTCTTTGTAGCTGTGTGCTACTGTCAGATAGATGACAATTTTCCTTTCCATGACCTTCTCTCCACCTTGACGCCTTCAGCATAGCAAACTTTGCATTTTATGTATTACTGCAGCTCTCAAATCAGCGATTCTCTCAACAAAAAAAAAAAATACAGCAAGTCAAGTATGCAGATTGTTATCTCCATAATTTAAAAGTATAAGTGTAGCTTAGATTTTATTACTATTATTACTATTATTACTATTACTATTATTACTATTATTACTATTATTATTATTATTATTATTATTATTATTATTATTATTATTAGTATTATTATTATTATTATTATTATTATTATTATTATTATTATTATTATTATTATTATTATTATTGCAGGAACAATAAAATAAGACACAATAGCCAAAAATTATACACTGCAGGTTCAATGTCACTCGCCATACCTTCAGTTCATTGTTGTAAAACATCTCATTGGGAACTTTGAGTATGTCCGCATGGCTTCTGAAGTTTCTCAGCAACTTTGTCATCATATAACCATTGTCATTCTGCTGGTACGAAGGCATTTTAATGAGGCGCTCCAGTAGTGACACGCCTGCATGAATAAACACCACAGTGTCAGTAACCAGCTGCACAAGGTGGTACATCTTGCTAGTTAAGTGAACAACATGAACGACAAGAGACAGTAAAACAAGGCACTTGCCTTCTTTCACTGCCCCTTGTTGCTCAAGTGCTTTACCTTCTTAACATAAATTTTATACAGAGCAAACTGAAGGAGTTGATACGAGAAATGTGGCAATGTTATTTAGTTGGAACTAAGTGAAGAAGCAGTTTCCACAGAGCTGCCTAATTTTTCAGCTATTACTGGAAGTACCCAAATACCAAATGTAAGTCTGGTGCAGTAATGCACTCCTGCATGCACACCACATTAAATGGCCAGTGTAGTGGCAAATACATAACATGCTTTTATACCTTCAAGTCTCCCAATGATTATCAGCAGTGATGCAGTGCAATAATTTAGACTAGTTTTGATTATGTGAATAAGTCATTTGATCAGCAGTTCAACTAACCAGTTGTGGTTTGTGGCAGTTATCGAAGCATGTAAAGTTACTTTTTCAAGCAGATGAAAAATGACCATCACAATTCTTTGTACATATGGTATGAACAAAGCACTCAATGTTGTAGAAAACAAAGATGCATTTCTTGAAGAGGCAAGTGTAGGCAAGTATTTATAGAGTATATATGCAGTCTCGTATATACCGTAACATAGTATAGTGACCAGTAGAGCAGAAACCTGAAGGCAGTCTGGGAGGCAGCCACCTCATTGGGAGAAGCATGTGCCCTATTCTTTGGGGGTAAATACACAGATGCAGTAACATCAACAGGTGCAACAGCCACAAGGTAAAGATTGCCATAGCTTCATGCAGTCAAGGCAGTAATGTGAGCTAGTTCATTGCCTTAACTGGCATAATTTTCATAGCACAAATAATATGCTTGGACAAAAGAGGTCACGAAAACAGGTCTATTTTTCGCACTACAAACACGAATTCCAGCTATGGCTCAGTGCTATGCACTTTTTACACACGGCATAGAATGAGCGTTTAGTTTTTATCAATACATCAAGTGATGAGATACAGAAATAGAAAGCTATAGCCTCAATCACTTTGACATAGTTCTACAAACACAATAAAAATGAATGGAGAGAGTGTCTGTAATGACAAACCTGTAGACATCATGTGGCAATATCCTAAATAACTGATCACATAGCACAAAATTTTGTACAGGGGAAAAGAGACGAAGATGAGCAATAACTTCCGGCAAAAAGAGACTTTCCTGAGAATAAGATTTTTGCGCATAGCAGTTGTGGGTTTCTTGAATTATTTGTTTTTCAAATTTTGTTAGTATATTGTCACGTGGTCATGACGTTCACAAAGGCTGCAGACTGTATGTTGAAGATGAGGCTGTTTATATTTGGCTGAACTTGTGACCACAAAACTGAAGGTCAGATCACAGTAACACACGGGCACTGATAGCAGCAAACAGAGCTTCGGCCATCGATCAACTGACAAGCGATGACACGAGTTGGCATTTATACATGTGCAGTCGAATATTCCGGCGCTATCATTAGCGACCACGTAAGTTCCAGAAGAATCTAATGTTCCCATTGTGAGCATAATCGCATCGAAAGGTTCTACGATTATCTCGAAGGTTTTAGAGTCAATCAATGTGGTTTCACAAGACGGCACTTACATGTGTAATGGTGCAATGACACGACTTTATAAAGGAGCGTGGCAATATATATATGTGCACGCTCTCCAAAATAAACATTGTTGGAATTTAGAGCTTGTCTCTGTTCCTTCTCTTGCCTCGTGTCAAATTTCGCACTACTAGATCAGCGGGCTCAACTTTATTCTGTTGTATTCTAAGTAAAAATGTAACATCCAGTTACACCAACAACACTAAAACATGTGGACACTCACATCACCCCAGAGAAAATGCTATCGTGTCCACGTGTCCTGAAGATTGGCTTCCCTGTGGAACATGCACAAAGCCAAGTTAGGTGTTTTCGCGCATGGCTGTGAGCGTGAAGAGAGTGACCTCAGCTTTGCAGAAGTGCCACCTGTTGATGATATATAAGCATGCCATGGGGAGCAGCACCCCTGCTCTTGGCCTGAGGAGCTGGTAGTGGATAGTCACACAATGATGGATCATCTCCATGGACTGCCATTCATGGGAGTCTCATGTGTGTCATAATGGCATTTTACCATGTTTTTTTTTTCATAATGTGACTAGTAGACTGGCTATGTGAATATATTTGCATGTTATAAATTCTACAATTTCGCTGCCTAGCTTGTTGTGTAAAAGGTGCAAATAAATGCACATTTGTTCACTTTCACTATGGTGTGTACTGTATATTATTCTCCGAGCATGAGAGAGATCCCACAAGAAAGCTACTCTCAAAAAACTTTCACAAGAAAGCTACTCTCATACAAAACTTTATTTGAAGTTGAATAGAAAGCAAATAATTTGCCGAAAGCCTACAAAGTAAGGCTCAATGTTGCTGCCTAGAAGTTCAACAGAATTTAAACATGTTTCGAAGTGGATGTAGCTAAACCACACTAAATGAAGTTTGCAGTGCTTTTCCAATTTATATAATGATCGCAGCTTCTTCTTGAGCATTTGTTGACCTTAGTTTTTATGAATACATGTGTATCAAATAATTGTGCAGTGCATCATGACGGCATCTGAAGATGTGTGTGGAGGGATCAGGGCCATACCCAGGAATATTTTTCGGGGGTGTTTATGTGAAGAACGGCCAACTTTAGCCACCAGTGGTCGATGTGAAAGTATGTAAGCACTGTAGTGCCACCCCAAAATTTAAAGCATGAAGAAACTTCAGGGGGTGTCAGAACCCCCTCAGCTCCCCTCTAGTTACTGAACTGGGAGGGATCACTTTACCTCTACTTTAAAAATTTCATTGAGTTCTGAAATCAGCATTCTTCGGCTATTTCAACTCAAAGAAAGAGATTTTACAGCGCCAGCGATGCAGTCAATTTTTGGTGGTGACATGGTGGTGTGTAGGCTAATTACCGCAACCGAAAAGTTTATATACCAATCAATCCCCAACTTAAATATTTCAACCAAAAAATGGCACCCCAAGAAACTAGAAGCTAGCACGAATACTTCAATAAAAATTAAACACGATCACTATTTTAGAGGGCAGAAGCATGGAAGCCTACACTGGCCGGTATATCATTATGAAACTGGTCGCCTTTACGAGTTGGTGATACGTGTCCGTATAGTCCCACTCCAGTGATGAAAGCAAATGCATAACACCGTATATGGACATGTCAAGGGTTGCAGCCAGAACGCTCCGGTCACCTTCTTCAAGCCGCCCTTCACTACACCGACACAACCAGTTAGAACTGCTGGATACATGACAACACATTCCACAAGACACTACTTCACTTCATACACAACACCGGCCTAACAGCGCACATTTAACAAACAGCGCACATTTAACAAACATACTTGCAAAAAATATCATGCCTTAAAAGCAAGTCTTTATCGCAAAAAGAAGATGAACGGGAACAAATCAACGAAATTATGCTGCATTTGGCAATGGGAGCAGAAATCTGACCAGAAAATATTTGTTAATTGAAGAAACGTGCTAAATTCAGCATGAATATTTTTGCTTCAAGCATTCTGCCACATGTAGGGGCCATGCTTGTAGAAACATACCTAAATTGTAAGATGAGCAGAGACGGTTCCTAATCACTGGCCCCAGCTGCATAGGGTCTCCGGCAAGAATGATGTGTCCCCCAGGGCCACTCTGGTTGGGATTCCAAGCTTTCATGAGCCCCATGAGAGGGATGACACACTCTGGTTCCAAAGCATGGCCAGCCTCATCCACAATCACATGGGTAAAATGGTTGAGCGGTAAACAGAACGACAGTAACCTGCAGAGAACTCGAGCTATGTTATACTAGCAAACATGGAAAAAAAAAAGGGGGGGGGGGGGGGAGAAAAATCTCTTACTTGAATGAAGTAACCAATGTGGCAACAATTATCCTGTATTTCTTCAACTCCGATGCAGTATAACGGTGCTCACTATCAGCTTCCACATCATTACAGCATTTCTAAAAAAAAAGGATTGATCATAATTATGAAAATATCTTTTTTTTTTGTAAAACAGCTTTCCTGACAACAGAGCAACTACATACAACATACATGCACAAGCAATACAAGCAGACATGTAGAGACTGTACGAAATGCATTCCCTACCTTGAGCTTGAGTTTCTTTGAAATCTTGTCTGGGTTGACGGAAGCAGAGTACAATCGAAGCATTTGCATTGGCATTATATGGTCCAAAAGTCGCTCAGCTAACAAATCACTAGCACTGTTCGAGGGAGCAGTGATAAGAATGCGACTGCACGGGATCAGCGTGCATATCTGTGGTAATGTAACAGGACTGACATTATTACAATGTTTTTCATGCAAGGCACAGTCAGTGTTGAACATACAAAATGGTATAATAAAGAAAACTGGCAATATTAGCAATGTTAGGGTAAAACTGCCCAACTTACCTGCTTGATTGCCTCGACTAAAGTAACTGTCTTCCCTGTGCCAGGAGGACCAAACAAAAGATACGGATAAGGGCGGTGCAACCCTAACAACATGTCACTGACAGCTTTTGACTGCTCTTGGTTCTCTTGAATCTTCTTGTTGAAAAACCTGTTTCGAAAGAAGCAGAAGGCACAAGTGGATTAACTGCAACAGCGGCTGCAGTCAAACAAAATTTTTACCTCAAATCAGATAGTTCGAGTGCCGGTTTGGATGGTGAAGAGCTGATGTTAGGGAAAATGAAATTCCACAGGTTCCGTAATTTGCACAAGTCAAGAGCTCGATGCATCCGCATCAACGGTACTCGATTGAACGTAAAGCGCACATCAAACTTCATTCCTTTGATGTAGATGTCCTTAAACCTGCATATGGCACAAATGGAATAAAATTATTTGTCATACGAAGAGTCTTGGTAAACTTAAGCAAATTCAAAAGTATGCACTTACTTGTCGCTAACTCTGACTTTGACGGATGAGCCATCAATGCTGGACACAACTGCTTCATACTCGGTTACTGCATTAGGATTGCTTAAAGAGGGCCTAATGTATAATCTATTTCCTTTCATAACTGATGGGCGTCCTTCAGTTGCTCCAGGCACCTAAAAAAAAATGCAGTCATCACAATCGGCATATTTTGCCACCCCACTTCTGAATAATAATGTCAAACAATAAAACCTTTATTGCCGATTTTCGCTATTTCAAGTGCAGTTGTAATGAACTAAAAAATGCAAAGTTATGGGTTGATAAAGACATGAATGCAATTAGTATACCAAGTACCATTCAACTAATGTAACCAGTGTAATGTGGATGAAGCGGCACTCGCGAACGGGTGCGTGTTTGGCTATAGCATGCAGAAGAGAAAGACAAATCTCAGAATAAGAACAGCCAGCCTACAGTAAGTGTGTTGTCTCTTACTTCTCAGCATTACAATATATATTGTGTGACTTGTTGAGAGTACCCCTAGTATATTCGTGTAATGATTGTTACTGTGCACGAGCTTCGTGGTTAAGGTGATGTGGACACTTTTTTTTTCACATGCAACATTTTCCACACCACGAAGCAATTAAATATAAGTTCACACGAGAATACGAGCTGTGCATCAGCGTTGGAAACTGCCATCAGGATAAGAGCCGGCCTTCAGCAACGATGTTGTCCTTTGCTTGTCAGCATGACAATGGCGCAGCACTTGCACCACAAATAATTAAAGGGGCCCTGCCACACTTTTTCAACTAACCGCTGAACAGATTCGTTAAACAAGTTCGTCTCCTTATGAGTGAACCGGAACAAAAATTTCTTGAATCTGTTAAGTATGAGCAAAGTCATATTCATTGCACACTGTAATTGCCTTCTTCTCTCATCCCAATTATTGCACTAGAAGCTAAGCAGGGAGCAATGGCATGGGGAAAAGAATTAAGTCATGCCCGCCTCATGATCTTGAGCACATTTTTTTGTAGTTTTTTTAGACACTCTGCTTACTTTCAGTGTGATCGCAAGCACGCACAGGCACCTGGCGGCATTCCAAGGTAACCACAGAAACTATGCAGCTCAAGATACTCAAATTAGCTATTGGCCGTGAATTGGAGTATGGTATATGGTGCAGTCATTTGGGTATATAGCATCATTTTTAAAATAAGAGAAAATTCCTTCTAGCTGACCGAGAATTGGAAATTCTAGGCCACATGCTGCGCCACATTTGACTTGTGTATACTTTGGAGCCTCAAAAATCAGTCAACAGCCTCTTCAGATTAAAACCTTTGAGAGCCACTTAAAGAGTGCAAAATACTTGCAGATATAACTGTTTGGTCAAGCATATAATTAACCTCCAGTGATATTTTGTGTAAATGCAAATTAAGCTAATAGTTATGCACATCTAGTGAAAATTAAAATTGAATGTGTTTGAGGAAAATGATAATCTCAATATTCTTTCAATATCAAGAAAAAAAATTATTTCATGTTTCTTCTGTAAACATGCAGAGGTCAAATAGTTTGAAGTGATATGCTCAGCTTTACCACATTCTCACTTCTCTGCCAGCATACCTTGGGCCATGCTGGCATTTCAACAAATGTAGTGTAATTTTAAATGTCAATTGTGTAAGCTATAAAAAGCTACACTACACATGGATGATCAGATGAGAATCTTTTTTGTTGTCACTTTTATACCTGTACTAAGGCAACATATGAAAATTACCTACTTTTTCTTCAATTCCCTGCAGTTATTTAAAGTAAACATGTATGTATGTTTGCATTTAAGTGAAATGTTTCACCAAATTTTGTAAGCCATTTCTTTTTCTATGAAAGTGACAAAGGCAGAGCCTTTTTTTTAACTAACTTGTACATACTTCTTTGGAACACGTGAACTATTTCGAAGATATACGTTGAACATCTTTACATTTATGCAGACAACCAGACCCTACTAATGTATAACAAAGATGTTTATAGTTTGGAACAAATCCATTTGAAACAAATGGACAGAGCTTCTTCAAAGAAAACAGCTGGTGTGCTCTGATGACATAGTGGAAGCAAGCACTGCTGACTGGTCGAGTTGGTGCATAATAAAAAAAATTTTTTTCCTCGCCCATCTTGATGTTGTTCTGTCCAATGAGCTCACTCAGACAAAGGTGCGAAAGGCTTTTCGTTATGTTCACGATTTCTTATTTTTTATCGCCTGTGCTTCAGTAGACGTTGAACGCCAGGTTACTGAAATTCTGCCAATAATCAAGGAGTGTCTTGCATCACTTGAAGTGGCGTAGAAAATACCGCAAGGAGGCACAATCCACTTTCTTGACCTTCATCTGTCTTGTTCGTTTGGACATACTTGCTGGTGCTACGAACCATGGTCGGAAAAGCCTCTCTTGCTATACAATTCAGTGCATCCCGAGCTGATAAAACGAGGGATTGCCAGGTTATGTTTTAGAAATGTCCTGATGAAGTCATGCCATCACACTATGGCCGCTATTTTCGCAGGACAAAGCAAGCGATTATCCTTGGCAGGCTATCCAGTCTTAGTGCAGGTGTCGGTAGCCGAGTGTTTGCTGCATGGTTTGTGTATGCGTGGGCAGCCGCAGAACAATGGTGAGCCCGATGCTGGGAAAACCAGTGTCGTACCTTATGTCCATTAAATTTCGCACCATTTGAAAAAAATAGCCCCGAGAGGAAACGTCTGTGTAGCGTTCTCTGCTCCAGAAAAACTAAGTAGACTATGTAAGCTTACGAACCCTAAGAAGGAGGTGCTATCCACCTGTGGAAAGAAGCATTTGGCTGAATTTTTCGAATGTTTTCTAGCTGTCGTGCATCGCGGTTTACATAAAACAGACTAGTAGGTGCGTCAATGACCAGTTGTGAGAGCACTGGTGAATGTAGAAAAAAAAAAAGATTTATTCTGGTGGTTTCCTGGCTATGCATTGCAAGATGTGTGCGTGCACTCTATTCTTTAACCAGTGTGTCATCTTGGGTCACAGTCATAACTGGTTCACACGAGAGTATATTGAAAGAACTAACGCAAAATGTGCAAAGCTGTGTGCGAATATGCCATCCATAGCCTTATTTGAAAAAGAGCTAGATTTTCTGGGGCATGTGCTATGAAGTGTTGATACGAGATTGTTAATTTGATTTCTGGTAACATATGCTGTGCCACATTCCTGCAGTTTTGTCATGTGTGCAGCGTCACATGTGCAGCAAGATGAGCTATATAATGCACTGTAGGGTCACGCAATAAATAAAAGCTAGAAGTTAGTGCTGATAGTGTCTTTTTTTCATTCTTGACCTTGGCATCTTTTCTTCATGCTCTAATGAAGCTGCGCTACAACAACACCATTTTATAGTGGAGGCAACATAAAGCAAATGTGCATGACCTGTAAAACTTATTGCCATGCACCTACTTTTTTGAACAACAACACACATCACAACAGCTACTTTTCAAGGTACTACTTCAAACTTTTCTCTCATATCCAGATGAATATGCCAATTAATGATACTCGCAGGAGAGCACTGTAATCCAGATACAAAGACGTAGAGCTAACTATTTTTATGCTATATGTGGATAAACTGCAGTGCACGCAACTAGTCTGGCTTGGCAAGACAAAAATAAGGGAAGAGAAGAGCTGCATCAACACACAGATTGCACCTTGTCCAGGAATTCTCGGTAGGACAGGCTGACTTGCGTGAACAAAACTTGATGAAGGATCATCAAAATATAGCAGAGCATAGAAGTTTGCTTACATGCTACTGTTCAAAATAGCTACTTTTAAGCAAAGCGAAGAATAAGTGCCTTGCTACACGAATCATTCAGTTCATTACTTAAAACTGTGGGTCTATATTCTTACACTCTACGCACAGAACCAGAACCAATGTGCAAATTAAGAAATTTTTTTGAACCAATGATTAACCAATGTTTTACCAATGTTAAACAATTTTTTAAATAATGAATTAGCCAATGTTTTAATCAATGTTTCGAATACAGAAAACAGATCTGTAATTTGTGTGTGCAGCATTACTTCAGAGTGGAGAAGAATTGTCTGATAAGGGCATGACTTATGTTTGCAATTGCCTAACAGTCCTTTCCATTCAGTGTGTTGACTGTGATGGTATTTATACCTTTTTAACAGGCCAACCGTATACATTTTTAAAGCAGTATGTAGTGTTGAACTGCACTATAACAAAAATGCTTCCAGTGCTTCTAAACAGTGTTAGAGACATGAACAAACTCCTTTATTCAAGGAAACACTTTTACGCATGAAAGGGAAAACCTTTCAAACAAGCCAGATAAATGCTGAATTAAGAATATACAGTACCACTTTCAACAAGAACAAACTGCTTGATGATACGCTTCATATAAAACTTGCCACTCCAACACCTGACACCAACTTCCCTTATTCATATATATACCATTCATTCACTCGCATGCAAAACAAACCAACAAAGCACACATTACCTCGAAGGTATATTCGGAGTCGCATTCTTGCAGAACGACATGAACCATGTCATACGTCCTGATGTCGATACTCATCTGAACTTCCTCAAGGTATAGTAGGGCCTTCAGCGCCTGGCAGTAAGTATCCTTGGTCAATGGAGCATTCAAATTCTTTCTGGAATAAACAGGCAACACATGCCGACTTTTAAGATTTTTGTACCGAGTCTGCAGTTTGTTGAGAAGTCTTTATTGAGCAGTCTTAGGGCAGCCTAAATTGTTAACTTTCTCGTGAACACTTGTGGAAGGATCTTATGACCCAAGAAGCTGGCGATGTTAACCTTGCCCAATGTTGACGTGTCCTTGCAAGTGAAGCACACCATCAATTCCCTGTGGTTTCTGCTGCTGTTACTAATCCTGAACTCTTGTTGGTGCACGCCACACAGGTTAATCGCCACACCGTGCGGGAGCACCTGGGTTCATCAAGCGCTGCAACTCGTTCCCCGACACCATCACATGATTCTCGAGAGAATGTATGGGAGAGGGCACAGACTCTTACCCAGCCCCTCACACAGGCTGCAACCTAGCACGTCAGCGTGTTTTAGCAGTGCTTGAGCCAGATGTCGTGCGTGCGCAGTAAGAGTGGTCATGCCACACACCACCGGTTTGAACTCTGCCATATGCTGCTTCACATCTTATATATAATGTTAACAGCATCCTTGTTTCCTTTCTCCTCATCATAACCTAGCTTGTTAGTGTATTGGTTGATATACAGGTTTCGTGCATAAAAAAGGCCTGTTGAAGTGCAAATAAACTCGGTTTTAAGCCTGAGCTCATCCGTGTTTTATGTGTCATCTGTGTCCCTCTAAGTCCCACTGTATTTGTTCAAGGGAGAATAAGCCTCGACTGTGTGCATAGGTCGATGCATGTTTCACATCATCTGGTACCAAATGGCAACAGTCAACTCTGTCCTGTGCTTGCTGCTGCCATGTACCCGTAAACTTCTTAATCTCATCAGCCCACTTAACCGTGTTCGCCTCACTCGTTTGCCTTTTCTTAGACTCCAGTCAGTTAATACCCGGTGTTATCCTGCTTTGTGCAATGCACCCTGCCCATGTCTTCCTCTCGATTTCAACTATGATATTCTACACACCCGCTAATTTTCTGACCTACTCTGCCCTCTTCCTGTCTTATAACATTACATTTATCATTTTCTTTTCCATTGCCCACTCTATCCATCTCAATTTAAGTTGAACCCTCTTTGTAAGTCTCCAAGTTTCTGCTCTGTAGGTGTAACGGTAAGATACAGCTGTTATATACCTACCTTCCTCTTAAGGAATAGTACACAGTAAACTACAACTTATGATTTGAGAATGCTTGATAAATGTGCTCCATCTCATATTAATTCTTCCAGTTATTTCCCTCTCATGATTTGGCCCTGCAGTTACTACTTTACAACTTTCAGTGACTTGCAACCTATCACGAAGTGCTGTTATCTCCCAAGACTGTTGCACATTACTTTAGTGTGATGCATATCAATTTTCAGACCTACTCTTCTGCTTTCCATTTCTAGTTCAGTGATCATGAGTTCTACTTAATCCTCAGAGTTACTCATCAATGCTATGTCATCAGCGAATGGCAGGTTACTAAGGTGTTCTGCATTAACTCTCCTCAATGTAGGGCCTTGAAAAACCTCCTCTAAACATGCAGTGAATAGCAGTGGAGAGATTGTGTTCCCTCGCCTTACACCCTTCTTAATTGAGATTCTGTTGCTTTCTTATGGAGGACAGTAGTGGTAGTGGATCCGCTGTAGAATTTTTTTCAATATGTTTATGTACGCTTCGTCGACACCCTTATTCTGCAATGCCTATGTGACACCTAATATTTTGATCGAATCAAATGATTTCTTGTAATCTATAAAGGCTATATACAGGAGTTGATTGTATTCCGAGCATTTCTTTATCATCTGATTAATAGCATAAATATAATCTATTGTTGAGTAGCCTATTCGAAATCCTGCTAGGTGATACTCGAGTTGATGCGTGTTCGTGTGCAGCGTGTTGCATCATATTAGATATGGCTCGCAAAGGTCGCACTTACGCTTAGGTGCTCATGCAGCTCGTTTAGTAAAATGCGAACTTACGGCATACACCAGCAACATAGGTTGCCCAATACGGGCTGAAATCGTGCATTTTAAGCCTTGAACTATATTTACCTTGAACTGTATTTTCGAACGAATATTTTATGGCTAAATGTGGCCGAATTGTTGTACCTTAATGTGCGAGCACTAATTCAGTCATTAGTCTACGCGTTCGAGCACCATCGATTTTACTCTGCTTGTTTCCACAATGTTCCAGTTCGTTATTTTGTTTTGTTTTTGTTTATTAAATATTCTATGCGCCTCCCCTAACCTTGGCGCTGAAACTTTGCTATACACTTTTACGTGTACGAACATTAAGAATAGTTGAGAGCACCACCTCCAATGACATTTTCCGATTAATGACAAGTTTAATGGTACATCGAATAAAGTGAATTCTCTAGGCATGTGCTACAAATGTTAACGGGATCTGTGGTATGTGCAGATTCAATATTTTATTTATCATTCAAAACTCGTGATAATGTTATACATCATGGTATGCATGCATAAGTCATGTACACATTGCTGTTGAAATGTAAATATGGACACCATATTTATTTGAGAATAATAAATATAGATTGAAAGTTTTCAAGTTATTCGCACTGAAGGAATTATACAAATTTGGAAATCAGTTTCAACAAATCTTATTGCTCAATCGCAGTCAATAGCTTCCAAGATTCTGGTTCCCAGAGATTGTTGCAGAAGCTTGCATGCTTTATTGGGATGGTGTGGGATTCAAGGTGGGTGCCTCGTATGTCTTACACACTTTGTCTTACACACAAACAAACACACTTTGTTTGTTTGTTTTCATTAGACAGACTGTGATGCTTAAGTGAGCGGTACTGCCTTCTTAGCCAACCAGAATCATTGCAATTGATGACCATAATTTGGCAGCACACAATAGCAATTTAGTGACACCAATTTCTGACATTATAGGTATAATCGTCCCAGTGTGAGCAGCCTGAAGAAAGCTATATTAGTTGTATTTGAAATCAGTCATATTTAATATTATATGTTACCTGCAATAGATACCTGATGAAAGTGCACACAGTCATGTATGTGCTGTCGTATCACTGACTTTGCATGTATACGCACTATGCAGGAGAACTATTCAAGCATGGTTTGTGTACATCCTGCTTGTTTGCTCCAAACCATTTGAATGGTTTGGAGCAAACAAGCAGACACATTGCTCCAAACCATTTTAAATAGACTGACAAATTCATTTTTACTAAGAGACACATGTCACTAAATTGTTTTTTCGGTGTTTTCATCGCAGTCTATGCATGCACCTCGTATAAACAGAGTGTGAAAAAATTTTGGACATGCCTGTCATTAATGGTGGCTTGTGGAAAAGTTTGCTACCGATGTAGAGCAGCTGTGCATTGCTTCCGTTTCCTATGGAAAGGGAACTTCATTGAGCCACCTGCTTGCTGCATTCAAGAAGCTCGCATCTTCAGGATGCTCAAAATTAGGCCTTTTGTTTTTCTTTAAAAAAGTCCGTGCTGTAAGTTGTGCGTGTAAAAGCTACCTTTGCAGATAGTTATGTGCTCAGGGGGACACAATGTGCAACAATAATTATAACTGTCTGCCATGCCGTTGAATAAGATTCAATAATGAACTTATTAGTGACTGCAGCAGTTGGCCATGCATGTATTCAAAATTTGAGCCAGTCGCATTTCTACGTATATCCAAAGAACTTTGGCATGTCTGAGCTCAGATATCCCGCTGGAAAGTTTAGTTGTGGCTTGCATCATCATGCATGCAGGACAGTGAGCAGCTACTACTCCTTGAGGTGCGCATATATATCTGACCATTGGTCGAAGTCATAGGCAAACAATATAATGCTTACCTTTTCACTACTTGCTGGTGATAGCAAGCACTGACTGCTCGTCCCACCAGGGAGTAATATTTTGCTGATCCACACTGCTTTGCATGCGTAATCGAGAAAAGCACAATTAAGCTTCGGAGCGAAATATCTCGAAGCATAGACATGCTCGAAGAATTTTGCCAAGTGGGACTGTATAGAAACAAGACTGTCGCAAACTTTCTTTGCAAACATACCCACTTATTGTAGCCACCAAAATTTGGTTATTCTTAGTTGATTGGGCAGCTGACAGCATTATTGTCTTATTTTGTGTCCCCCTGGACACATAACTTATCTGCAAAGGCGGTTTTCTGTTCTTAGGCCTGAATTTTAATGCAAGCACAAATCCCGTCTCTGAATGTACTGCTTCCTAAAGTTTTTACTCCATTTTTTTTTTAAATATAGTGAGTGAGCTGCCCTCAAGACTTGTATGTCATGTTTATTTTTGTGTAATGTGCAATTAGTCACTTAAAATTGAACTTTTTGTATTGCAATAAGGCTTTGAAAAAGTTTATTTTCACTATAATACTGACAGAATATTGTGTTTTAATATATTTTAGTGACTATTTCATTATCTTCAGGAACTTAAAGCCATTATTGCAATGAAGTAACTTTCTACTCTCATACTTAATCATACCTAACTTTGCCAATACCTAACCATGTGTGATATGTTACAGTGAAACCTAACCATGTTTAACATTGTTAATGATAGTTGACAGAAGGCATTCTAGAATATTGTAACTCAAGTCCAGGAATTACAGTGAGAATGATGAGATTTTTTTAACTACATAGTGATATTTGCTTGCTTTGTTTTGTGCGAAGTGTAATGAGAATAATAATTACTAGGTTTAACATGTTAAAAACCACGATATATAATTATCAGGGACGCTGCAGTGAAGGGCTTTAGAAATTTCGACTACCTGAAAATCTTTAAAATGCACCCATGTCTAAGCAGACAGGTTTTGAGCCTTTCTTCCTTGATCGAAAATGCAGCCACCACAGCCGGGGTTTAATTTCGTGGCTTTCAGTTCAGCAGTCAAGGGTTTCACTGATGGATGCTAAGTACCACAGTTTCATGCCAATTACGCATATTTACTAGTGCACTGATTGTTTGTCACATTCATAATTTACTATGATATTTCATTATTTTAGCATGCAATATATATATATATATATATATATATATATATATATATATATATATATATTTCACCTTGCCTATAGTGTCAGTCATGGCTTAAGTGATGAAATAAATTGCAGATTGATTGATATGTGGGGTTTAACCTCCCAAAACCACGCTATGATCATGAGAAACACCGTATCGAAGGGCTCTGAAAATTTTCACCACCCGGGGGTTCTTAGACGTACACGTACATACACGGAGACTTTTGCCTTCATAGGAAATGCAGCCACCGCGGCCGGGATTTGACCCCACAATCAGCGCGAGCCAGCAGTCAAGCAGCATTTCCACTAGACAACCATGGCGAACAGTCTTCATGTGCCATGCTTATGGTCGCACTGGACCCGCTAGGGCAGCTCGAACCCCAAGAACCGCAGCAAAGCTGCACTATGGCAGCCACGCACAAAGCCATGCATTGTTTCCCGCATCATGCCAGACCGTGCATGCATCTTTTCATTTGTCATCGAATTTCCTGCAGACGTTGGCGGAGCCACGCTCCTAGCAAGGGTGGCAGAAAAGCGCCCTTTCTCTCCTCAACCTCGCTTCCTCCTCCCAGCACTAAGACATTGTCACAACCGGTAGTCACCGCTTTGTAATTTTACGTAATCATGTTGTACCATCTCATTGGCCAACCATGACGCTGTTCTGACTCCCTCTCCACCGTGAAGCCGCCAGAGACTTTCCCAGACAACAGCCACAGTTCGCCCTCGCTGCATAGTTTCGTGTTTAATTTCTTAGTGTGTGTTGGGATTTCGCTTAGGATCTGCTTTTTTCTTTGAGAACTGTGGTACTCAAAAGACGTGTCATCTTTTGCTTTCTGCTCGAGTCTCTTATGAATAGAAAAAATAAAACTATGGACTCCCTATCTCGTCAGCAAGAACACCGCCGAGTCAATGCTGTGGTTCAGCCAATTTTTCAAAGCTAGACCGCGTTGGAAGGCAGCCCTGCAGAACAAAACTCGTCTGTTAAAAGTGTAGGTAATGTCGAAGGTAATTATTATTATTAAACTTTGTGGGAAATGATAATTTTCAATATAGTACCTTTGACCAATAGATGCTGATAAAGCATCTAGTTCATCTGCTAAGATGAGAAATTTCTACATGTTGCAGCTATCAAGTTGACACCTTCAGCTACGCGGAAGTGCTAATACGAGCAATGTACACCAGCGTAGGCTGTGCAAAAAGAACTATTATATACTGGTCATGAACACAGCTACATATAATTTGTAATGCTGTGGGCTTAGTTGTCTTTCTCATTTCCTCTATGCATCACCTATCCTAAAGCTTTGCTGTGTTTGTGAATAAAATGGCTTAACATATTGTTTTCTCTAGACTTCCTGCAGATAGTGTCTGACCTAGCTCAAATCATTTCGGTAAGCTGGTGCATGTGAGAACATTTTTTACTTCACTGTGTCTCTTGTGCAAGTATTGTGGGATGGAATTAGAACTCAGGGTGTAGCCGAAACCACAACTTGATTGTTAAACACACCTTTGTGGTGAAGCCCATTAATTTCGACTACTCATAGTTCCAAGATACCTAAATTAAGCACACACAAAAAAGATCAAATGTCTGACAGCTGATTTTTAGGCTGTAACAAATATTTTACCTTCATATATTTGCTAATGGGCCAATAATGTATTTGCTAAGCTAGCCTGTTAATTTTTGTTGCACTGATAGAAGTCTGCTCAAAGAAAACAGTTTGTGCCTTTTGTATGTGTGCAGGTTCCTGGACCAAGTATCCGGCCAGCACCTCAATTGCTTTGTATAATCATAGTTACTATAAAGTGTGAAAGTTTTGGGACAAAGTACGTAATCGTTTTTATGTATAATAAAGGTTACAAGTATGCAACAAGATGTGCTGAAATTTTGCATTTGCTTTTGGATGTGCAGTATGGCGCATTCTAGGCAACACCAGAAACAAAAATGAGTTGACGTTTAAAAGCCTGTTTGTCTCCAAGCAAAACAGAATATTGTAATGACAGACGGCAATCACTAATTCATTCTTTCAATAAATAGGGCACCAAGTTTGCTGGTTAGAAAAGTTCCAGCAATCAATTTGATACCATTATATTATGCTGCTGTCTCTACTTGTCATTCTCGACAGTGAACAGCTAAATGTACTGATTGAAAAACACTGACATGATGCAATGGATTGACTATAGGACATGCTCAACAAGCTGATTTGCGTGAAAAATAAATGTCTAAAAAGATGTTACAAAGATCTAGCAAAAAGTCTTTAGATTTATGGCAAGAAGTTTACAAGGCTTCTAATAATGTAATTATAGTAAAAGTTTATAAAGGTTCTTTAAAAAATTTAGGAAAACGTTTTTTGGAATTCTTGCTAGCAGTTTTCTAGCCGTATAATAACATAGAATTAGCACAGTTACAGGAGGTTTTTAAGCTGCTTAGGTTTAAATAACATCAAAACAAGACTTCTGATATACCTTTGGACTATCCTTTTTAGATGTTTACTAGAAGTTTTTTAGCTTTTCTTGTGTTTCGTGGGAACTACTCATATATATCTCGTCATATTGCATACGTGTGTGAATTTATCAATATACAACACTAACAAGCCACAACATAAAAATGCAGTGCATAACTTCAGCCCAAAAATATGCCAAGGCACAGAACCCAGTGACAGTTCTACTTTACAGGAACACAGTATGCAGCTTTCTTTGCCTGCAACAATGCTTACACGGTGTCGTTTAGTTGCACCAGCTCTTGATCACTTATTTCGCTCCAAGGCTTTAGGCAGTATTGGTGGAACATCTTGTAGATTGCAGGAACTTCATATCCTTGCCTCAACTTTGCTCTGAAGATAGAGAATTCCCTTTTTGAATGTTTGTGCAACAGTGGCACGTTGCTGTGAAAAATAAGCACAATGCACCTGCAGCACAATGGAATACTACCAGCATTACATGTGGATGCACTTACAAATAAGTTTGCCTAAAAAGTACTAATAGAGCCTCTTTTCTAAATATGCTAAGAATGCAATCACTAAAAACAACGCAGAATTTTGAATGTAATATGCGAACAGGACATTTTTAAAACATGCATAGTTTCTCAAATTGCAAAAGCTCGAATTAAAATCAAAGGCTAAAGAATGTGGCCGGGACTGTTGTTATTGAACATTTCTCGTAGTATGTCGTATGCAAGTGCATAGAAAAACTATCTGTACAGCTATATTCACAAAGAACTGTGTGACCACTCTGTATGTATTGGACTCTACCCATAGACACTGCACATTCATGTAAAATATTGCATATGCACATAGCCCCAATTATTTTTCCCCTTTCTTTCTTGTTTCAAGTGTTTCATTTCTCATTTTCGTGCATTTATTCAATACCGCTGTCACAATAGTGTGATAGCTGGCTTTAATGTCACCTACCTTTCCACATTTTTTTTTCAACACTGGAGCTGTCAGGATTGGTATTACACCATTACCCAAAGAAAGAAAAAAAACCCACCATGGATCACACACTCTCTTCATCCTTTTCAACATCTCATTCACTTCCATAACAAGTGCACTGATTTGTCTGTCATTGGGCGCAATAATTGATGTTTGAGGAAATCAGTATCGAGAGAAAAAAAGAAAGTCAAGTGCGCTGATTTGTTTGTCGTTGGGCGCAATAATTGATGTTTGAGGGAATCAGTATCAAGAGAAAAAAAAGAAAGTCTTGGTAAAAACAACACTGCGAGGAGACATTCAAACCTGTGTAACCTTGTTCCAATGATACCACACTCCTCTCCAGGCACGTAAGCAAAGGGTAACAATATAGTACAATATAGAGATGAGAAAGGGAAATGAGGGCAAAGAATAGGGGAGAGAGCAAAACATAGCATAGAAAGTAAGTAAAATAGAGAGAATGAAAGAAAACAAAAGATTAGAAAGAGAGAAGAAAAGGCAAGAAAGTGAAAGAAAGAAATGAAAATAGACAAAAAAAGGCAGAAAAAAAGAGATAAACATGAATAAAATGATAAAGAAAGATAGAAAATAGAAATGAAGAAAAAGACCCAACTCCACTTTCTTCAGGTTTGACACAACTAGTGTCAAACAGCCTGAATTTTTTAAATATATAATGAATAATAAAAACTAGGAGAATAGGCTATTTATACACAAGATTCAGCTCAGATTAGATCACAGAATGCAATAACAAGTGTGAAAATTAGGGTGAACTTGTAAAATTTTAAAAGCCCCAATTAAACTTTGGTAGAAAAGCTATTTGGTAAAGATGTAAAAATTCTTGCAGAATTCATCTGAGATTAATGAGAATGTACAGCAGCATTTCAGTATTAATGTGTACTACAACAGAACTCGTAAGTTTGAATACACTTGTTGTGACCAGGCCTGCAAGGAGATCTTTGTGCTTTGAATAATCAACTGGCTATGAAAGTGCAGTACAGGACGTGTGCTGAATGCAGCGAACATTGACCAAGATTTCCAGACTTCCATATATCTTATATCCATATCCTCCTGTGTATATGTGATCGATCACACTTTTAGTTCTTGTGATGTTTCAGTTCTTGCGAGTTGTTGTGCTGCACATAAAATAACCATTTTTTTACATACAGAGCAAGTGATGTAGCAAATCGGGCTAGTTGGAACATACTCACATGGACCAACCCAAACAAGACGAGAGACAGAAGACTGTTGTCGGCCTCTTGTCCATGTTTGTGCTGGCCACCATGGACAACGCAATTCAGTTGTGGAGTGGTAGTAAAGCCCTCTTATCATAACCATCAGGATCTAAGCCATAGGCCACTCATAAAATTTTGTTTTTCTTTTTTTTATCTCTAAACATTGCCAAAGCTTCGAAGCCACAGAGTTGCCACATTTTGGAAAACATGTGAGTGTATAAAAAAATGCTATTGAGCAAACATTTTTAATGAAAATATATCCACACTCACATTTTCCTTTGCATAATGTGAATGAACTTTGGACACACTAGGGACACATGTCAGCACAAGGGCACTCAAGTCTCTAATAATGTAACATCCCAAAAGCACAATATTCTCTGACAAGCACAGTAGCTCATGAAATGGCAAGACGTCTGAAGTGCTCTGGACAAATTGCTCATAATACTTGGAAGAAATACAGCTGACTATTACAGAAAGCACCAGGTCTCACGACTTGTGCACTGATGTATTTTACAGGCAAGATAAGGTTAAGCATTAACAGGACAAACTTCTGTATAACAATGTACTAAGCTTGACTACATGCCCATAAAACACCAAGCATTTTTAACTTCAATACAATGAAGCGCATTTATCTACAACTTCAAAAGAAAGTTTTCCTGCTCCTGGATGAGGCTTTCAGAGCTCCTGGCTAAGGCATACAACGCGCTCGACAACGCAACTCGGCCGCTGCGGTCCGCTGCTAAGCATCGCCTGACAAGGGTGTTCACAGTTTAAATTTCATTGTTTTCTCACTGCAAGTCCCACACATTTTTAAAATACATGAAGTGCCACCCCTTGAAGACTGAGTGAGCTTAGTTTGTTAAGGTTTGCATTTTTGAACACCAGGATGCAGCTCTATGTTCAGCACAAAGCCTAGAGCGTACCCACTTGAGAGCGGTTCGCTGTGAAGCCTGCCCATGTTATCACCATGCGCATTTTACGGTGGTGCTTTTAATGAAATTGAGGATAAGTTTTGTGAGGAATAAAATTACCTACCACCACCAGACAGCGATTCGACAGAATAGAGTGGTGAAGACGACGGCGGCGGCAGTAGCGGAGACAACACCTGTTTCTCTGCAAAACATGCAGTAACAACCTTAGCCTGCACAAAGCAGAATGCTTTGAGTGGTATCATACGCTGCCGAAATATAACTAAAGGAAGTGCCATCAGAATGCAAGAGCAAAAAAATATCCTGTCAGTTTCTGCCCCAGGTCATGTTTTTCTTGGCGGTGCCAGGAACTGGCAAAATAGTTTTGGACTGGTAAAGCCAGAAAGTGGGCAAAAAGTTTTGGGCTGCAAAGGGTTAAGGCAGTCTATGTGAAGTAGAAACACAGGTGCCCTAAGTTGCCGAGGAGCAGCAACTCGGTTCTCGCCTATAAATATTTATTATCTTTTGCTGACAACTTAATTTGCATGTTTTGTCTTTTCTTTGTGTATGCCAGAGCTTTCTTGATGTTGTGCATAGAAACAAAATTTTTGACATCATAGGATTAAATAAAGCTTCCAATTAATAAACAATTTGTCCATCCTTTCAAAGTTCCCCTTAAACAGTGCCTGCTGTATCATTATTACTTTCATGCTCCCAGCACAACAAATAAATCTGGGAGTTATCTGATATTGGAGTTATTTGTCAGGTGCATATAGTTTAAGGCACAGTTGTATAAGTGGCCAGTGGATCAATTCTGAAAACCTTGGTTTTCTAATGTCCTCAATAAGCTAATTATTACAGGCATACTGCGTTGGTCCTGAAATATTACACATGTAGTATTGCACACGTAATATTGCATTGCAGAAGCATAAAATTATGCCAAGCGACATAACATGTTAGTTGCGCTACAAGTGGGTGTTATAAAGGCCCACCCACTACAAAGCACCAAGTCATATTTTATTATAGGCAAAACCATCAGCAAAGTAAACAGCTGTGTAGACTCTTGTGTTGTCTTAGGGACGTGTCGTAGGCCCTTTGCTTATTTGCAAAAGGAATAATTATGGCTTAGTGGGCAGACTTGCAGTAGGCGTTTCTTCGATACTTTGAAATGGCCAAATTTATGTGCACAGAATGTTGTTCGTTTCCTTACAGTAACGGTTAAAGGATGCACAGAAAACTGAAGCCAGGCTAGTAATTAAGAAGGGTATGTGCCCAGGAACTGATTACACTATCGCATTCTACTCTTGAAGGTAGCTCAAGCACCTTCCCAAGTTTTTGGGACACTTATAAGCAAGTTCACTGTACTAGTTACAAATAAGATTACCCCAGAAGGGCCTTGCAACCGCTTACAAGGAAGAGAAAATGCATTAAGATTTGAAAAGAAAAACCATGCTGGAGACAAACCTTCCAATGCACTCGGCAGGAATTATGTACATGGCATCAGGAAGCCTTGGCACTGGCAGCTGGTATTCATACGGGATCAGTGGCTCCAGAATATTTTTTTCAGAGCGGTCATCTCGGCAGACAAGTTCGAAAAAGCGAACTATCACAAAGGGCTTCGTCTTTGCTGAATCCGTGCAGAAACTGAACACGATGCCATTACGCTTGATACCGGTCGTCTTCACATTGCAAGAAAGAACGACATCATATGTGGAACCCGGACCAATCGACACCTTCAGGGAAAACCAGATAAAAGAGAGTGCACAACAAAAAAATCACTTTTTACGAACAAGTTTTGAGCCAGTTTTATGCTGGTGATAAAACACTAAGAACAATGCCCCTAAACAATGCAGAAATAAATTTTATCATTTCAAGAAGACTATAATAATTCATGAACAATACATAGTTATACCCAAGAAGACATTATCGAGAAACCTGTAACACCTTATAAACTTGATTGCTGAACATTTGTCATACATAAAAGACTTTTTAAGAAGCAGAGTTAGCTTCTAAGATTATTTAATGAGTGCTGCCGAGCCCACCAGAATAGCGACGTCGACTTCACTGCTGTAGTCTAGTTGTCATTTCAACACTACCATTTAGGTGTCACTATCACTTACTGCACTAAAATCATGTAGGCAATAGAACTTTACTTGGCGTGCAGGATAACCAAGACAGTATCAAATCACACTTTTCCATAACCACGTTATACATAACAGAAGCTATATATACAACCAAATGTATCAAAATTCAATGTGATTATAAAATATAGGACTTGTTTGAATGTAAACAAGACCTGAAATAAATTCTCACAATTAGCAAGAGTGACAGAAAGCATTTCACAAACAAACCTGAGCCACCAAAAGAAACTAACAAAAATGAGTAGATAACCAAGCAGCAGGCCTACTTCTCTGCGTTTGTGTCGGTGGAAAGTGTGTCCACTCTACACCTTCACTCACGAGGCACTCTAATTTAATCTTGATAACAAAACTGTTGTTTGCATGTAAAAATATATACAGGCTACGTCTCCAGTATATTGTCACATGGATGTGACATTGACGAAGGCAGGGACAGCATGTCTGAAATTAAAGTCGTTATTTGGCCGAACCTGCCGCTGGGAAATTGAAATTCATACATTCGAGTGTTACTGCTGATGGCCGAGTTTGTTCAGAACAAACTCAGCCATTCGCATTTACGTGCTAAAGCTGAGCAGATGATTCGAAAACTATCTAGAATGCTCTCGGACATTCTGGCGCAGATTGCACACAAGGCAGTATTTGCACAGGCAATGCACCGGCAACATAAAACATAGAAAGGAGGGTGTGTGTCAATATGCGCTACTGCCTTGTGGAGTATGTAGCTGGGCGTGTTGCTAAAAAGCCATAATGAAACTTCAGCACACAAAAAGGCCCAGCAAAAAACACTAGACTGGACAAGGTACTGCTCCAATAGTTTTGTTCAAAGAAACCATTCAAATAAAATACCCTCTTTGCTCGCGCAAGTACGCGGAGACACCGAAAAAAATGCAATCGTGTTAACAGACAGTCGGAGAGCTATGCTCTGCTACCTTGATGCCAATGTTACTCTGCACAAGTCAATAATCCAAGGTCCTTGCTTAAAAAGATCAACAGACAAAGTGCTGAGACATGATTCACATGCCATGATAATTTCATCAGTCTTGGCGATTTCTTTCGTGGTCTTGCTATGGATACTATGGACGATGCATTGGCTGATAAGAGGTGTGCACCCACCGTCGCTACAAGGTACACTTAAAAGACAAACCGAAATGTTTAGCATATTGTGGAGATACTCACGGAGTCTCACATTTCTGCATCCAGACTGGCCTACGGACTTTTTGCCACAAAACAATGAGAAAGAGTAGATCACCCCTTTTCTACAAGAAACAAATAACTGGTTGTTGTGTTTTGTTTGGCACACTTTGTCCTGTCTTGCCTTTTTCTCTGTTCTTTTAAGAGTACCGAAGTTTCATGTCATAAAATGTTAAACAACCCAATTGAGGTAGTCAAAACTTCTGGAGCTCTAGCTACTGCAACATGCCTCACAATTATATCATAGTTTACAATATACAACCCCATAAATTATTAGATATTTTTTTATAATATATGTGTATCGTTTCTGTGTAAGTAAAAATACATTATATGAAATCTAGAGGCAACCCTAATTTTAGACTTGGGAGTGTCGTAGTTGCAGTCCCCGAAGTCCCCTTTTGGCACATGTGTGCCTTGGTGTACTCTTTAGTGCTGAAGAATACTTAAACAATGTCGCACATTCAACGCCAGGGAGCTCACTACCCCTTTTTTATTCCTTTAAACCATATTGAAGGAGGAGTAGAAAAAGAGCGAGGCGCATGACACCTGGCGACTGCTGGAACTAATAAGTACACCCTACGCGAGCCCTGTTCCGAGACCTACGCGAGGCAAACTCAGCTGGTGAAAAGGGAGCGAGGAGGGGAAGAGATGTGATGCTGTAAACAGGATAAGCTGCTAACCCACCAGAAGTTCGCAGTCCTTTCGGGCATTTTAAGTTATGACATACCTCAATGCCCACTATCATATAAAACTAGGCTTGTGTGAATAGTGCTTTCTAAGTTCGAAGCGAATTCAAAGCAAATAGGGATTTTGGTAAAATAATTTCGACTCAGCTTTGAATACAGTATATCACATATAAGGAAAAATGGTCAATTTGTCATGACCCAACAAATTTGAACTACATATTGTAAACATTAAAATAAGGCCTGTGCAAGTGCTATTCTTTTTTATTCAAAAGAATTGGAAACAACTTTTAATGGTAGCAGGATTTCACTTTTAGTAGAATGCAAGTGATAACTTGTAAAATATGTAAAGGTAAAGAATTTACTATATTTATATCGTATAAGCCAGTATAGCAAGCCTTTAAACTTAAAAAAAATGATGAATCAATGTGAGGGTATTATGTTCGTTTAACCTTGAAATAGAGCTTCACGGCAACACGGATTTCCTTGAATGTTTTCACTGCTTGTCATTTCTTTAGTGCAGTGAAACCACTTTTACAAAGTTACATATGGACTAATACACACTGGGATAGGTGTTTTCACAACTTATATCTTTGTGTGGTCTCACTGCAAGGTCTATGCGGCTTAATATACACCTAGTATTTATTCATTTTGAATACTTTGAAATTTTCAACCATTTAAATTCGAATCAAAGCAAATTTGAATACAGTAATACTTGATCAAATATTTGCACAAGCTAATATAAAAACCTTCTCAATCTATTTCATCCCTTTTAAACACATTTTTGGCATTCATGTGCCCTGGTGGATTCTTAATGTGAACTTTTCATTTCACGAGCTACCGAAGTCGCATAGAAAACAGCACGTGACTGAGTTACGACTAGTTCGATGCTGAAACAAGCCTGATCCGAGATGTGCTGTTTACACTAAGGTCAACTAATTATATGACTCCAAGTTATACTTGTGACGTACCTTAATGGCAAATATCATATACAACCCTTTACTTAACCCAATCTACTCTTTTTATATTTTTTAATATTTTCAACGGGATATTCAGACAACTCATACCAATGCTTGACTGGGCAGTATGGAAGATAGCAAAGAATGGCACTTAGTGATTATGTTACTAAAGATTGCTCTTGAGAGTATATGCTTTTTAGCATAACATCCAGCACAATCAAGTGCCGATATAGCGTTAATGAAATTTTAGTGCATCTGGGCACATACGTAATTATAACAAAGAGGTAAGCATGTTTTAAATTAACACATAAAACTCTTTACTGCATATAGGTCAGTTCGCTTAAGCTAGCAGCATCAAACTTCATTGTTGCGAGGCAGGGTTGACAGTGCACATTCTGCATGAATTCCATGCGGCGTAAAAAGTATAGGCTAATTGGCATGTGGTTTCCGAGCAAAATTTCATTTAAATGATTCGGAAAATTGTTTCTGGAATAATCAAATTTCACACAAAATTGAACAGTCCCACATTGTAAAGACTGAAGCTTCTTCCTTTTTCCAAAACAACTTTTTAACGTGTCTTAAGAATTTATGTAAGCAGCGTTTCCAACGTAAAAGATTGATGACAAAAGCATTAAATAGAATGTGCTCGGTATGCCTCCAACAAATTTTTATCTAAGTTATGCACTGTTTCAAAATTTTTTGTCATGTCTTTCTACAACACTTTTTTAACAGAAGTTAAACATTCTAGAGTGTCAGATGGCAGAACCAACTTGTTATCACAACGCATACCACTGTGGGGATCAGATTAATTTCTACAACCTAGTGTTTTTTTTATTGCAAGCCTTAATTGAAGCACACAGATGTTCTACTTTGCTTCCATCGAAATGAGCACTTCCAGAAATTATGCCTATGCCAGAAATTAAACTTTAGCAGTGGCAACAGAGTAAATGTTACGCTGCTGCTGCAGGTAAAAAGAACATTTAAATTTATGTACACACCAGATTCTGTGCCCGATTGCCTACAACAAAAGCCAGGACACACAATCATTATAAATTAACTTCAATGTGCCCTGCTACGGCCTGAATAAAAAAAAAAGGTTGTCCAAACCACTCTGAAATGTCCAACTGGAACGTATGGGAAATTTCCAATTGTTTTGGGACAACCATAAAAAAATTCCAGCAAGTCCAATCGGTCATCCCATTAGTTTGAATAAGCTTGAGTAATGTAACCAATTGGTTTGATCATATAGCTTAGTAGATGAACTCAGTTCACCCATTGTAAGGAGCACACAGTTCCAATTGGATTTCTTAGTTGTGTACAGTGAGCCATCCAACAAATGCCAGCACAAATATAAGCCAAATGGTTGGACCAATTAAGCTGATAAGTCAAAACATATTATCCAATCAGCTGCACCGGTAACTCTTAAATGAGGGTCTGACCAGTTGATCTCATAAGAGAATCGTCAAGCTTTTAATATTTCATCACAATATGGTTTTGTTGGATTGCATGAACTCAGCATTAGTGAATATTACCAGCAATACGAAAAATTGTTCCATGGATGTCACATTATAACTTGACTAAAAGTCACCTCCCGTGTCATGACAGCCATTTCAGCCTAGTTAGTCGTGCCAAGTCCTCAAAACAAAGGGGCAATTCTTCTGGAAGACTATAAAGCAAAAATATAAAATGAATGCTACATGTACAGCTGTCAGCACCTTTAACTCGAATGCTTCGACGCATGGCCTGGAGTACGTGTGTGATCGAAAAGGCCATTTGGTCGATCAGTTCAGTCACGTGTATGATGTGGAGCAGAAGATAGAAGAAGGGGAGGCCCAAGTCGCTGTGAAATTCATTTCTAAGGTCCGGCACAAAAGCGTGCACGACGTATGCCTCGAGGTAAGTCTCATTCAGTCGACATGAAGCCGCATATTCTATCGATGAGCTGTATTGACGTTTACGAAACCCATATAATTATTGTTTTG